CCTGCGGAAATAGGTTTCGTCACGCTTTCCGCAGCGAAGCCCAGATTGGCGGAAGTGTAGAAAGAGAATCCGCATTTCCGCGTTTGCTGTACGGCGGAAAGCCAAAAACAGATTTCAGGCATGCGTTTGCCATTTAAAGACTGCGTTTTACACTATGGAGTTATTAGATTAAGTCAAATGTCAGCAACCACTGGCCCCGACCTGGGGGCTGCCAAAGTCATAGAGATTGACTGTGTTTCTGCTCAGAAGAAGGGTGGAAGGCCCGTTGACGACGTTTGGAAACATTTTGATAGAGGTCCTTACTTCCACAGTCAGAACAACATTCTTACCTTGTCCGGCCCACGCACATCCACGGCACCAACGTATGCTCCAACATATGCCTTAACAGAGGAGATAATGAAAGATCGTCGAGCTGTTTGACAAACAGCTGTTCACGGATGAACGGCCCTATTTGCCTACAAAACCATGCTAACAGATTTCCAGAATACATCATCAACAAGCAAATCGCCTCCTGCTAGCAAAAGGTAAATAGGGCCAGTCATTCGTGAGCAGTCCTTTGTAATTTGCGCTAAACAAAGTGTTCGCTTTCCAAAGCAGAGTTTCCAAAGCAGAGCAGGACACTGTGAACAAGGCCAGAACGTTTGTGTGTATACTGCGGTCCCTACTGGCGGTGAAATCACATGCTGGCCGGGAAGACGGCCGGGCACATCATGCCGTACCGCATCCCGAAGCCAGTATGCACAATCCTGAGAAAATTTCCAGTTTTCATTGTTTCGTTGTGGCGCAACTCCACGCAACTCTGCGCATGGGACAAAATGTCGTAGTACATAGGAGCAAATCTTGCGCAGTTGTCCAAGTCGACTCAAAGCATTCCAATCGGAACGCCTGGCTTATCATAAGCTTATCGGGCTGTTTGTCATTGCGCTTTGGCGTATCAAACGTGAAATATTGGTGCCCGACTGTGCAGCTGACCACCTATGCTGGGGGTGAACCATTGGTGCACGCGGTCCTTCTTCATCATCCCGCGTTCCAAACCATGGACATTTTGACAGAACACCCTTGTTTGTTCTGCCATACTAACCACAGCATAAACATCTGTGCTGCGAGTTCTCCCTCGGCCGAGATCCGCTTCAAAGAGCGTTTGTCGCTTCAGTCTGCTTCGGAATTTGACGCTAGGGGAAAAAAGCCATAGAGCAAGAGAAAAATACCTCGCGGAAATACAAAATAACCCTGGTCATTCCCCTGATTACGCCTAAAGAGAAAGCCGATATTGCAGCACCTGTGTAAACGTAAGGAGTAGGTTTGTAGCTGGCAAGGGATGGGGATGGGACCCTGGCTGACAGCTTTCGGTTGTGAACACAGCTGCAGGATGGGGATGGCCCTGGTCGAAGGGTTGGGAAAGGGACCCTGGCTGGCAGGATGAGGATTGGGGGGACACAGCTGCAGGATGGGATTGGAAACCCTGGCCGAAGGGATTGGGGATGGGACCCTGGCTGGCAGGATGGGAAACCTGTCTCGAGGGATGGGATTAGCACTGGCCCTTAAGATGGGGGATGGGAGTCGGTCACCCCAGCCAGGATGGGAGGATGGTTGACCACTACCAACCCCCAGGATTGGGGGATTAGACCCTTTCTGCAACCCTCTGGTGCAGCCACCAGCCCGTCGTCGACCTTCATCGATGATAATGTCTTCCCGAGTTGTTTCCAAGGAAGTCTGTTTCTTGGCCGCTAGCTTCATCAGACATCCACAAGTCAAGTCTGGCGGAGGGAAGTTACGGATCGATGGTTACTTGGAATTGCTGAATCCATGCCTATCTTCCAGCCAAGCCGGTCAAGCCTAGCTGAGAAGTGCGCTTTCCATAGCGGCCGTAATTGCTTGAAACCTTCGGTACAGGAAGGCGTCAGAAAACAACCGTGATAACTTGTACGGCTTAGCATCGCAATGGCGATGGGTTGCACCACTCTCAAAGTGCATAGGTACGTTAGGTAAACATAGTCATCCTTAATATGTGCATGGACACATTAGTAAACGTATGATAACCTGCTTGCCATTTGCGTAAGTGACGCTCTCTACCTACAGATTGCACACGGATAGCAAAGTGTTTTCCAACTAGGTTGCAGCTGGCCTAAATCAAAGGAAAAAGATCGAGTTTCTTGGCCAAGTATTATTAAAGGCTCTCTTTGAGTTCTGCATCTTGAATACAACTCCAACATTGAAAGCATGAATCCGCAAGGTTTTCTCCCCACAAAACCGCTTCCTGTATTTGTTGTGAATTTGGGACAAGGAGTTGCCGACTTCGTCCGGTTCACGACAGGTATGCTTACGAGCTCATTAGCAATCGTTGCGCAAGCTCTGTTCAGGCACATCCACGCCTGTTTATTGAACTTTATATAGTCTGCCGGGACATAGGTTTTTATCTAACAACGCAGTGGTGCCAACTGGCGGTGCCAATATTATGGCGGGACTGCACTGATTCCCAAGGACCATCCCTTTCTCCCCGCCATCCGTACCTCAGGAATGGACATACCGTACCAGGAGGGGCTCATGCTCATTGTCAGTACCATAGTCATGGCGGTGTCAATAGTGTTGTGGATTATCATCGATATGGGAAACCGGGCCGACAAGAACGGTTAGTACCCGGCTTTGATGGACGGATGTCTTACCTACGCTCGCATGCTAGTGCTGTCAGTACTTGCCCCCATGCACATATTGCCGACACACATGACTTCACAACTTCCTTGGCCAACTCATGGCCACAGCGCCACAACCATGCCGTACTTCATTTGGCAACCGGCGACCCACATCTTAACCCTGTGACTGGCAATCGGGGATTGCACATTTGGTAACCGGCGCCAGTGCACCTGTTCGATCCTTTCTGGTTGTTCTCTTTGACATAAACACGTTTGTCCCCTGCCTTCGCCGAGGGGCATAGGATTCTGAATCCCCTGACGCCACTCTTGTTGCTTCCCTTGCAGCACACCTGGCTGTACTTGAAGCGCGCTCAATTACGGCAGCGAATCGGCCAAATCACCAGAGGCGCTCCATGGATACCCATGAACTCGCGAGAATTGGGTTATCTTCAAACTCTGCGCATGGCAGCGAATCAGGAGACCCCCCAGGCACGAGCAGCAGCGGTGGCGATTACGCTGAAAAACTGCACAGACGTGATGCACCAGGTTCGCATGGCCTGTTGAGGAAGAAGATGGCGTGAATGGAAGACGTGCTTATCCATGTCGACTGAGTCCCTTGTGTTGCTAGGTGATGGCCACTCACCATGGTGAGGCGGTGGTGAGATTTTCTTGGTGTCTGTTGCGGTGGGCGGCCATATGTGTGCGTAATATCCAAGCTGCGGGGCATTTTAATTTTATCCTGCAAAGCGCCAACGGCTTGTGTTGGAAGGGAACATGGCTATAACGTCAAAACGGGGTGTCGGTGCTCTGTGATCCACGTTGGGGCTGTACGACACTTGCACGGGAACGCAATATTCTAGAGAACGAGAACAGGTTGACGTGAACTCACCTTGATGACGCGACCGTTGAGAACTGTTTGCCAATTTTTTTATACAATTTGGTGGCATGGACTCTGCAACGGCCTTTTTGGTGATGGTTGGTTGGGATTAACGTAGGCGCTTTTGGGGAGCGGATGTGTGAGGAGTTGTGAGGCATGGCCCATTATGAGTCCTTGGACTCCGCAAGCGACATGGGTGCAGGGCAATGCCTTGACTTACATTGTACACTTCACTTTGTGGACCCCTATATGCGCAGTGGAGGAGCATACCTTGTAGAGCACAAGGGGGCTGCACCGATGCCACGGGTTGCAAATTACCATGGCCGGTTACAACACGGGCTGCTACATGATGTAACCATACGTCCATACCATCTCGCTACACTACATGCAGCGCACAAGACGTCTTTGGCTTTGCGGGTTCAGTTGATGTCCAAGGGAAATGCCTTATCAGGTTCGCTATTAGAGTAAAGCAGCTGTCGCCGCTTCGCTGCCAGACTCTGAGCGTTGGCCTAGCGGTTGGGTGGGGTGCCAGGCTGTGCGGGTCGGTGCTTTGCGAACAGCCGAGAGCGACTTGGTGCGGCTCTGCCCCTCACAGCACACAGTTGGTATCACAGTTGGTACTTATTGTGGTGCGATCCGTCATGGACAAGCACCATGGGGGGACGCCCCATGGCTAGCGGACCAAAGAAGGTTAGCGGCACCGGTGGACGTTGGCGAACATGCGACACTGAAGTCCAATGGATATTTCTGCTGGGCGGCCAAACCACCTGACCAACCACCCAAGCCCTCAATAACCTTCGTGGACACTTCAGCAGCACGCTCTGTAGAGGCAACCCGCCCTGCATGCTATTCGACGTGTAAACTGACGAGAGGTGGCTGAGTCCCAAAGAACCAAAAAGGTCCCAAACCAGCGCTCCCCGCCAGACCCCACGGACCCTGTTACATGGGACTACAAAGGAAGCCTAACAGCGCACGAATAGCCGCTTGGAGGTTCGTGAAGGGAAGCTGCAAGACCTGGGCCTCCTCAGGGCGAATCACTTTGGCATTTCACTTGGGAGACGTTTACTGACGCTACGTTTACTGTCACTACCTGACTCCTCCACCGACATATGGGCGATGCAGTCCTCCTGTATTACTACATGGAAACCCATGATGCAGCTATGAACTGGCATAAGCTCCTGCTGATTGCTGTTAAGAAATGGTAAGGCTTCATTCAGGATTGGGCGCAAGGCTGCCCGAAGGCTGCCTCAGGCTGCCTCAGGCTGCCTCAGGCTGCCTCAGGCTGCCCCAATCCTTGAATGGCCCTGATCACGCCAGGCTGCTTTGAGCGGGAGTCTTGGGCATTTGATCTGTGTAATATTTACTGTGCTTCGTCATGCGAGCCATATGCCATGATGCAAAACCACCAAAACAGTGTCTGAGTACTGCATGCTATGCATATTTGTAAGCATTCGGAAACCCTCGTCAAACAGCATTACCTCTATCTGTTCTAGGTAATCTTGTTATGACGTTACAATAATCAACGTGTAGGTTCAATGCGTAGGAATGAACGTGCCGACGCCAGCGCCTCACCAACAGACTACCGGGCAACAACCTTCACGAGCATGGGATGCCTTTTCCGCCCCAAGGTTCCAGACTATTAAATTCTTGGGCAGAGGTGGTCAGGGCTTCGTGCAGCTGGCGTATGACAACTTACATAAGCAAAGCGTAGCTATCAAGTGAGTCTGCTTTGCATGTCAACCACATCTATCTTTGAAAGATGTATTTTTTATGACTTTGCACCACGAATTCAGTTTAGAGATGCTTTTCCGTGGGGCATCAATGCCCTGACTCATTGGGGCTTCGAAATAACTGAGGTTGTGCGTCTTGGGGTAAAGTGGCATTTACCTCCAAGAGTGCTTCTAAGGCTACAGCCTTTACCCGAGCGTAGCGCACCACGTGGCACACGCGAATTTTACGGTGGGCAGTGCGCGTCGCCTGTTGCTGTTGCCGCTTCTCTTTTCCCCCCATTCGCCCCCGGGTTACTCAGATATATTGACCGGGGATGGAGTCGGGGGTTCTACAAGTATGTTCTGCGCGAAACCTTAAACCACCAGCAGCTGTCTTTGTGCAAGCATCCTCACATCGTGGAGTTCCACGAGGTCTTCTTAACGCCGTCGTACTTGGCGGTTGTGATGGAGTACGTCAACGGAACGAATTTGCAGCACTACCTTGAGGTATGTACGCTCAATTAAGAAACCAACACGACGCTGCTGCCGCTGCTGCTACTTCTGCTGCAGCCCTCGTGGTGATGGGGAAGCGGCGGGCTTCCGCCAGTCGATGCTCTTGCAGACGTGAGGCGGTGGGGCGTGACTCCCGCTCGGCTTCCCATCTCCCCCGCAGGCGGCTGGGGGCAAGCTGCCCGAAGACGTGGCGCGGTTTATCTTCCAGCAGCTTGTGATTGCCGTCGACTTTTGCCACAAGAAAGGAAAAGTCAATCGGGACATCAAGCTGGCGAACATCTTACTGCAGGTCAGCGGCGGCAGTTGGAATGTGCGCAGGTCCCGCTGCAAGCAGCAGGTGGTACCAGGCAAATGAAATCTCTGTCGGCACAGGAACGAAGGTAGAGCCGCACAGGGGTATAGCGGCACCCTTAGTGCGCAAAAGGAGAGGTCACAGCGCAGAGCTCCAGTGGCTGGCAGGAGCTTTGAATCAGTCATAGCAAATGAATTCTCCGGCTTTCGCAGCTCTATATGCACTCCTTATCAGCTTATGCATGGAACGCTGCCCAAGGGCGCTACCTGTCCCTGTCCCTACCAAGAAGCCGCCACCGAAAGCTCAGCTCCAGTATCCACAGCGTCTCACCCGACTGGGGCTGCTTGGCTGTGCTCATGTGGCCGAGGTCGTTATCCAAAGCCCATCATCATCAGCAGCAGCAGCAGCAGCAGCAGCAGCAGCATTATCGTCATCATCGCCATCACCATCTTCATCATCGTCGTCGTCGTTGTCGCGGTTTTTCCCAACCCGGCCGGACCTGGTCCGCATCGGCAACGGCAACGGCAACAGCATACACACATACACACATACAAAAATATACATTTACTCCGCTCCCCGTGGACCTGACTTGGGACATATACACACATCTTCCCTGTGTGTGTGTTTGGGTGTGTGTGTGTGTTTGGGTGTGTTTGAGCTCCTCGCGCCAATACTTCCTCTCCGGCAATGCCGACACCACCGCCGCTGCCTTCTGCACTAAGTCCCAATGATGAACCTCTTCTTCACCGAACCCAACCCTCACTTTATTTCGTTTCCTCGTCCTCCTCCTCGTCCTCTCCAACCACAAGGAGGGGCACCTGCCGCTGGTGAAGCTGTGCGACTTCGGCTTCTCCAAGGACAAGTTCGATGACTCGGAGCCGCAGACCCAGATTGGCACGGCCTTGTTCACCGCCCCGGAGATCTTCACCAACGTGCCCGGCCAGGCGAGAACGGCAGAACGCAGTGGCGATGTGTAGTGCGTACCTGCGTGGGTCTGCCAACAGCGACTGCTTTTGGGCATACGTCGACACGGAGGCTTGAACGCATCGCACGTGTGTGTGTGTGGGCTGTGGGCGTTTCGCGATTTTGGACCATTCAAGGCCTTGCGGCCGCCTCGCCCTCCGCCGCCCGCCCGCGGATTTCCCAGTGATGTGAAGCGAACCAAGGACCCCTCCTCCTGGCGGAGTGGGGCGACCCCGCGTACCACCTCACGGACCTGCCCGGCATATTTCCCTGCAGGGTTGGATTTAGAGTTCCTAGGTTTGCTCGGGGTTGAGTGCGTGTGTGGTGTGGTGTGGTATGGTGTAGTGAGGTGTCAGAGATGCGAAGTGGAGAAGGGATGGGGCCCTACCCGGGGCTTGGTTTTCATTTGTTTGGAACGGCGGACTACTTTTGTCTGTTTATGGTGCGAGCTGCTCGTTGAGGATGTGTTGCTCCGTTCCGTTCCCGTACGCAAGCAGGTATATGACGCCGAGGCAGCCGACGTGTGGTCGTGCGGCGTGGTCCTGTTCGTCATGCTGTTTGGATGCCACCCCTTTCTGTCTATGGAGGACACGCAACAACGCAAACATGCACAAGTGAGTGGCCGTGTGTGCAGCGACTGGGGGTTGGTGCCGACGGTGGTGGTGCCGACGGTTGTGGTGCCGACGGTGGTGGTGCCGACGGTTGTGGTGCTGGCGGTGGTGGTGCCGACGGTTGTGGTGCTGGCGGCGGTGGTGCCGGCGACAGCTGTTGGCTTGGGCCCTGGTAGGGCTTATTGGCAGGGACATGTCACTGGCGATGACGTTGCTCCAGGGGGGAGTTGTTCCGGAGGGAACCGCCACGGAGTGAGGCCGCCGTCGAGTGCTTTGGAAAGGACAAGCCGTGCAGCTGTACTCACATCAAGACCTTCGGTATTGCGACCTATCGCATCCTGTCGTTACCCTAAGAGCCGCTCGGTTTATTCCAGAATCGGCCGGTTCCGTTCCTTTTTCATCATCATGGGCAATCTTTTCATCTTTTTGCATTTTTTCATGACCCGTGTGCTCAGGTCATGAAGCTCATAGAGAACGCCGTGCGCGGAAACGTCCAGGTGGGCCCGGGGGGGCGAAGCAGGAGGTTGGCGGGCGGTGGCGTGAGCACATAACGGCCCCCGGTGGCAGAAAGGTGGATGGTGAGGAGGAGGGGCAGCACAGAGGTCATCGCCTGTGTGCGGCGGGGTTGATAAGATGAAAGCGGTTTACACCCTTCTCCGCAAGCTTACGGGTTGCGGTGAGCGCCTCTTATTGAGGTTACCAGCGCTACCAGTGCGGTGGATAGTAATACGCTTCTTTTGCGTTGTTGTGTTGGGGCTGGAGGGGGGGGTCCCGTAAAGGCAGCAGCTTCACTCGTTCGTGGTTCGTCTTTCCCCAAGGTTGTCGCGTAACAGATATCCGTGATGTCCTGTGGTCCACAAGAAGATACTTCTTGTGGACCGCCCTGGTGGCCTTGGGACCGCCTGTGACTGGTAACTGCTGCTGTGTGGCCGCCGCGGGCGCAGGTTCCCCTCGGTGCCGAGGAGCTGTACCCCCAGGCTATGGATCTGGTGCACCACATACTGGTGTCTGCTCCCAGTCAGCGGTGCAAGCTGCCTGCCATCATGGCGCACCCCTGGTTCCAGGATAAGCTGCCGCCGGGCGCACTGCTGCTGAACGCGGCGTACCTGTCCATGGAGCACCCCGTAGGCGAGTATGTGCGGGGGAGGGGGGAGATTGATTTCGGTTAGTGTTGGGGGGTTGCATGATGGCAGTCGTTGTCCGGCGGCCGTTGGTGGTGATGGTGATGGTGGTAGTGTTGGTGGCGATTGTGGGGTAATCTTGGTGAGGGGTGCTGCGTTTGGGGGGCCCACGGTAGGTGGGCTGTGAAGAGCACCCTCTGGCAGCGAATGCCCGTTCAGTACAGTGTCGCCCTTCTCAGGCACCGCACACAGCCAGACAGGCAGGAAAGGTCGGGTGCTTCGGGGATACGCTTGGCACCAGCTACCGGTCAGGAGTAATGTTGCCCCAGACACAAGTCCCTAACCGCGCCCATGGCCATTCCCCCTCCCAACAGGTGAGCTCCGACAGACACCCGAGGAGGTCCATGCCATCATCACCGCTGCGCTATCCGTAAGCGGGCAGGAGGAAAGCTCGGACTGCCAGTCCCCTGCGCCTGTAGGAACGGATGTGGGAGCTGTGTCGGGTCCACCGCCGCCACCGCACCCCGTCGTAGCGCAGCACTTGGCGGGGCCCATGGCCAGTGCCAACGGGAGCAGCCCACTGGGGTCCCAGCAGGGCAGGGCACATCCGCAACTGCAGGGGGCCCCGATGGTGATGATGCAGACGCCACCAGGGCAACTGCAAGCCTCGCCAGCAGCTGTTCAGATGCTGGGGCAAGTGCCGGCGAATGGAGGGGCCTCCTGTCATCCGCAGCTGTCGCAGCACCAGCAGAACGTACCGTTGCGCGGGAGGCCAGGGCAACAACACAGCGCGCTGCATTTAATGGTCGTGGACGGGGTCAGCCAGCAGCAGCACCAGCAGCACCAACAGCAGCAGCACTCTGATAGTCGTCCTACGTCCAGCAATTCTCACAACGCCGTGGTAGCGGCTGGTGTGGCGGTGCAGGCGCCCACAGTGGCTGCTGCCCAGCAGCTGGCACGACAGCAATCTGTGTCGTCTGAGCACAACGCGGTGGCGAGGTTCAATTCCCACCCGTCACCGGCAATTTCTAACTTGGCGGGCCAGCAGCCGGAGGCGCCGCCGGGCAGCCCCATGTCAGCCAGCGGAGATGGGTTATTCGGAAAGAGCAGCGGCAGCGTGCCGTCTACCCAGGTAGGCGCGACCGTTGCCGCGGCGCCGCCGACATATGCACCGGGCCCGGGGGCAGGAGGTAACAATGCGGCCGCACCGCGGCGTGGCGGCGTAGCGCGCGCAACTGAGAAGGGCGTGGGCGGCTGCGTATTGTACGACAGCAGCCTGCTGTACAATCTAGACCTTCAGACGGAGGACTGACGAGGAAAAGCGATGGAATTTCTTCTTGTGGTTTGATTTATCGCAACGCAGGCGGGTGATGTTTGAGAGTTTCTATATTGCAGGGTTGGCAGTGTGAGAGGAGGGGCTGCGGAGCCCATTTTGCCGTCGGTGATGGGCGCAGCGCCAGGATGGGTCCTGTAGCCCACGCCTGACGCCGCCGCCTACATAGCAAGCGCGGTCCGCTAGAGACTTGCTGACTATACGATTATTGGATCCCTTCTTGGCTACATCCTTTCCCAACGCCACGTCGCGTCAGACCCCATATGCTAAGTTGTGGGGCTGAATTGTGCAGCGCCTGCTGTGAATATTTTGGGGAAGCTTTGCACGCGATGTCTTGAACGTTCCCGTCGGGGCACCCGCTTGGCTTAAATAACATAAAATGAACAAGAAGTTGGTGCACTGATGGGGGCATGAGCCTGCGAACGCTTGTGGCGGTATGAACCGAGCTACGTAAAATGGTTTTCTACGTTGTCTAAAAGCAATCGATAATAAGGCCTTATCTAGGCAATCTCCGTCGAGGCCTTAAGTATGTCACGAGCATCCTTCTTTGTGAATCTGTCGCGCGGTGGCCTGTCCAAGGGAGGTCTCTCCTGAGCGTAACACAACGTTTCCAAGGGCAGGATACACATATCCGCGCTAGTTTGGTACCCATGAAAGAGATTTCGCGTTATTAATTCAATGAAGTATTAGGCTTTCCATTCCTGCAGAGTTTTGGCATGTTGATGTAATTCTGCCGTTAGCTGTTGCTTGACGTTGCTTAGGGTTTGACGCAGCTGTTGCTTGACATTGCTTACGTTATGGCAACATAAGGAGCGTATTTTGTGCATTTTACACACGGTTACACGCCTCGTCACCAGACCATCATTCATTGAGTCTTGATAACGACGCTAACTGACCGCAATCTTGTGACCCGTTGCAATACGCATCACCCTTGTCGGACACAGCATGGCTGTACGAGACTGTACGGACATGTCAGCAAGGTTTTTATGCTCATACGTTTCTATTGTGGCGGAACGCACAATTCGGGGTACTATTGCACATCCGTGCAATGGTGTGGATGCACACATCGCATCAGAATTACTGCTTTGCGTAAGATATGTTCATCGCGTTTGCCGGCGTAATCTTGAAGCCCTGCAAGCCTTGCATCGCTGTTGTAGACTGCATGTCGTTCTCGAACCTGCATGCAAAATTGGCACACGCGTTTTGAAGTGTCGAAAGGCACACGGGGAGGTGCTGCAGTGTCTAGGTTGGGGACACAAGCGCTACACAACCCTTTGTCCTGACCGTGCAAGGAGGCCGGCATGAATGCGAGCAACTGTACCAGACCGCCACTCTAAGGCGTTTTATAGATTGCGGTGCTAAGAGCCCGGAAACAGCCACAAAAGGAGCAAACCCCAAAAGAAACGGATTTTTGTTCCTCACAACGGTATTTACGATGATCGATGTGGGGCAAGATACACACGCAGAGCTTAGCATTCGCAACTCCTCAACTTGATGGTAATTCCACCCTAGCAAAATCCAGTATCAAACCTCTGTTGCATGCCTTGAGAAACTTACTCGACGAAGGCAATGCCGGGTCGCGCCTCCACCATGCGTACCTCCCGGAAGCCCGGGAACTGCTGGAATAACATACCCAGCATGGCTTCGTTCGAATTCTCTGGCAGGTTCTGGACGAAGAGAATCTTGTTGGGGGCATTCGCCAGGCCGCTGCCTCCGCCAGCGCCCTGTGCCTGTACGTTCCGGGGCCCCAGACACCTCGGCGTCAGCTGGACCCAAAGCACTCAAAGATGGCACTGCGTCACAGCGCGCTTGAAGCCAGTCACCCAGGGGAAAATGCACATCATCAACTGCCCCATGCAGGAACAGCTCGTCCAGGTTAGCTTGCGCGCCCAGCTTTGCTTACCGAGCCGCCCCCGACTGAAGCTCCCGCCGCCTTGCCCCCGGTTGGCCTTTTGAGCATCGCCTCTACATGGCACGAATCGAAGCGACCATTGTTTATAGTGCTGACGACAAATGACGAAGGGAAATTCCGTGTGAAGTAATGTGTTACGAGCATTGTCTAGGATAAATAATGTGACCTCACATGTGCATAATTGTCAGCGGGGGCATAAGGCCCTAAACGAAGTAGGGAATCCCAACCGTGACCGCATCAGTTCCACGTGAAAAATCACTGTTCGATTGGAGTATAGATTGTGGTGCCATCGCATTCGCCGCAGCAATCGTTGGTTGGCGGGTATGGACCGCAGGGAAATGCAGGTATCGATATTGTGCTATGCGGTCGGTCTCCCATCCGGCGAGGCCCCCTTACCTCGTGCTGCCGCGTTCTTTTGCGCCCGCTGCTTCTTGTCTGGCTTATACGTCCCATCCACTTTTGCAACCGCATCGGACTTCCCCTTAGCGTACGTTATCCGCTGCACAATTTGAAGGGGCGGGTTATCTCAGTGCTCGCGATTATGGTGTGTGACCTGCTGTCCAACCTTCAAACCCATATCCTGCTTATCCAAATGGTTAATAGCCTGGCTTGGCTCGAATCACCCTCCCCAAACCCTGCTGACTTACGATAGGCTTGTCAAAGAACGGGAACCCCTGCATTGTTCTCAAGGCGTTCGTTGCTGCTGCCGTGTCCGTGAAGACCACCCATGCTTGCCCACGCAGTCGATAAGTCTTCATAGCCACCACGTCCATGATCCGGCCAAATTGCGAAAACATAGCGTAGAGGCATTTCTTAAGCTCTGCGCATGGGCACCCAGCACCTCCGTTAACTATATTATCCGACGATGCGACATGTAACCGAACTCCAAAGTAAGCGGAGAAACACCAGGCCGCCATTGCCAACTGTTAGGAGAGCACCAACCTTCTTTGCCCAACTTTTCATATAAGTTGTTTATGTAAATCGTTTGATTAGGTGGAATATCCATGGCTAAAGAGCAAAGCACACGTAACGATAGGTAAACTGAAAGAAGGTTCCAGCCTATGAGATATCACAGTGCAATATCAGATGCGCTGACGGACCAAAGGCGTAAGGCAGTGAATAAGGAAAATGGAAAAGCCGAAAGTCGCGTAAGGGCCGCCTCTCTCTTACATCTGCCGATCGAGTCCTGGTACTATGTACACCGTTAAATAAGCTGCAAGTACTCTGGCTTCCCGTTAGCCATTGTCCTTGGTCCCGTTGCTGACTGACTGAAGCCGTACATGTACGGCTCTAAACCAATACGCGAATAGATTACCCCGCGAGGGATCTGGAGTACTTGTATCTTGATTACTGTTAATACAGTGTCTTGTACCAAAACTCTAGTGCTGAATCTTGGTGCAGGCTCTGCCCATTTGGCGTGCGTTGAACCGTGCGTTTGCGCAACATGCCCACATACAAGTACCTACATGAGTATGAGCCGGCAAGGCCGGCGACGGCTGACAAGCCGTCCGCTAGTCCTGTGTATCGCAGCGTGTATGTGAAGGATGGGTTTCCCACTGTCGAGTTTGCAACCCTGTTCGAAATGTTCGAGCAATCATGCATAAAGTACCCCAACAATCAGTGCCTTGGTGGGTAGCCAGCTTAAACTGCGACGCACACGATGAACCCTGAGCGAGCAACCTCCTGCAGGCAAGCGAGACAAGAATGAGAAGGGTGAGGCGGGCCCTTTCGTTTTTAAGACCTACGCCGAGGTGCACAAAGAGGTGGTGCAAGCGGCGTCAGCACTCCGTGCCTTGGGCGTTGAGCCTAGCCAGCGGGTCGGAGTATTCGGCGCCAACTGCCCAGAGTGGATGGTTGCAATGCAGGTATGCATGGCGGACGTTATCCGGCGAAGATAACCGTGCTTGTCGGATATCTTACTACCTTCTCCTGACAGACGGCAGCAGTCCCAAAGCTGCCGGAAACTCGCTTCTTCGCTGAGCGACATGCGCCCTTTGTGATCGTTCCATGGATTAAACGAAATTAATGTACACAACTAAACCGCATATTATGATGTCAAGATCTTGCCTTGTTATGGAGGTTCTCCATCGGATCGGTGTGGTAGCCCTTGGGGCAAATGAGAGTCAAAAACACATATTATTATAACACGATCATCTTTGGGACTCCAAATATATTTGAAGGCCAGCTGTGGCAGAAATCTTTGGGGCCTACTTCTCCGGCCTTGCACGGCGCACGACCGCTCCGACCCACATGGATCTCGCAAGGCACACGCGTACGCTTCCGCTGCATGGCTATGCTTGTAGGCCTGCAACCGTATGTCCTTGCAATGCGTCCCGCTGTACGACTCCCTGGGCGAGAACGCCGTCGAGTACATCATCAACCACAGCGAGTCTGTGGCTGCGTTCTGCTCTACTCAGAAGCTGCCGGCGCTGGTGAAGGCCCTGCCCAGGACGAAGGAGACGCTTAAGTCAGTCATTTACTGGGGGCCGGGCAAGGAGGATGCCATCAAGGTATGTCCCGCCTCCCGCTCAGGGTGACCCAATTGCACCACCATACACCAGCAACACAACCCCACGTGCGCATTCCACAGGCTGCCACGGACATTGGCTACAAGGTGCTCTCGTTCAGCGAGCTTTTGGCGCTTGGGGCTGAGAAGCCAGCGGAACCGGTCCCTCCCAAGCCGGAGGAGCTTTGCACAATCATGTACACCTCGGGTGCGCGGGGGACAGGTCGTGGCCGAAGGAAACGGCATGGCGGAGGGATTGCGGGGTACCACGAAAAGCTAAGGCATGCGAACATAACCTGACCCAGATGGACATGATCCGGGACCGACCCGAAACAGTACAGGACAAGGACTGTCATCTGTCTCTTTCATCATGTCTTGAGCGTCCAAAGCACAGGCACGCAGTTGCTCTTCGCCGGGGCTTGGTGCGGCCAGGTGCTTCACAGCTGAGCCACGTCAGAAAACAGCTGCGGTTGGTATCAAACAGCTGAATACCCATCGGCTAGGTATCGCCGCAGGATTGCTGGGGGAGTATCTCTTGCTGTGCCAGGGCCTGGTGGCATGGCGGGTGCTATGGATGGGTGGGGAACGCGACCTGTTGGGTTTCATGTTCGCCTGGCCAAGGGATATGCCGTTTCCCTTTCTTGGCGTCCTTTGTCTATTTGTGGCCATGTTCCGCTGGGCATCCTTGCAGGCACCACCGGCGCGCCCAAGGGCGTCATGCTGACACATGCGGCTGTTGTGGCCGCGGTGAACACCGCCGGGTCTTACTGCAAATTCAACAACGTTTACCTGAACGATACGGACCGGATGCTGTCCTACCTGCCGCTGGCGCACATTTTCGACCGGTGAGCCTTGACCCGTGGTTGGTTGGGCCGCTTGCCGACCTGTCGTGCGAACACGCGAACGAATTGCATCAGGCGCTGGGAAGGCGGATTGTGATTACGTTACGGCATGGCTAAACTCAATTCCTGGCCCTTTCCCCATGTAGCTATCTACACTAGGAGCCCTGGCGCCCTTGTGAGGGTTTGCTCACTGCCCACCTGTGCTCACCGTTGATTAGACTCCCGAAGTGCTCAAACTTGCTGGTTGTGGGGACTGGACACTGCCTCCCCGTTACGGTGTAAGACATTCTTCAGCATGTAGGGTACCAGCTTTTCCGGTCGTTTCTTGTGCGGTTTGGCTGCGCAGGGTGAACGAGGAGTGGTTCCTATCCATGGGCGCTGCCATTGGCTACTGGCAGGTGGGTGGGCCTTTGGCAACGTGCTGGGGTTGGTCTGGTTGAAGGCATGGTTCATGGGCTCGAGGGTACGTATTTCTTTCGTCGGGTTGTGCGGGGGAGTATATCCTGGATTGGACGTTTGTTGTACGTGACTCTGTAATGCGTCTGCATCGTGGATATTTGTCTTATGGGGCGGCACACGTGATAATGATAACCGCAGGGTGACGTGACGAAGCTGGTGGACGACGTGGCGGCACTTCAGCCGTCGCTGTTCATCGGTGTACCGCGCGTGTTTGACCGCATCTACACGGGCATCATGTCTCAGGTGCGAGGAGGAAGGCCAAGAACTAGTCCTGCTGGCGGCTTAGCAGGAAGAGGGGTTATTTTCATGAAAATAATTTTGTTTAGCAAACTTGCAGGTCTATCTACCTGGGAACATCATGTACGCAAGCGCGTGCCGTGTCTCTTCCTACCCATGCGTCTGCGCCGTTGCCCAGGACTTGCCGTTCCCCAAGGACACTAGTTTCCAGCGGAATACGGAAGCCAGATGTCTGCGAAAAGTCCTGCTACGCGTCTTGTGCTGTAAATGTGCAACTGCCTTCGTTGCTGCAGATCAACAACGCTAGCTTCTTGAAGCGCTCCCTGTTCAACTGGGGCTTCAGCCGCAAGCTGTACTTCCTGCGTCAGGGCTACTCGCACACCAAGGTGAGCAGCTCCCTCTGCGGCCCCCGCTGTGTCGTGGCCGTGCGCTCTGCGTCACCAGGACGAAGCGCGTCACACGTGGTGTTCAGCTGCCATGACATGACCTGTCATGACATGCGTGCAGGGGTCTCCAGGAAGTCGCACCTATTGTCGTCGGCGCGGTTGGCCTCGCAGCCTCACAGCTCTAGGCTAGTCTGTTTAATTTGCGCTGGGGCCCCAGTGGCGGTGTATTCCTTTGACTGTGTTTGCCACTGCTCCATACCTATCCACGTATAGAGTTTTGCCACTGCTCCATACCTATCCACGTATAGAGTTTTGCCACTGCTCCATACCTATCCACGTATAGAGTTTTGCCACTGCTCCATACCTATCCACGTATAGAGTTTTGCCACTGCTCCATACCTACCCACGTATAGAATTGCCTACCTGAATTCTTTTTATAGACGCAACCGAGCACGACGTTGACGTGACACGCGAAACGTGCCCTGGAACTGCAGGCTGCGCCTTTCTTCGACAAGCTGATCTTCAGCAAGGTTGCAGCGCGGTTTGGTGGCAAGGTGCGGGACCGCCGTTGGTCATCTCACTGACCACCTGCATCTCGCGTCCCAACTGGTTTGTTTTTTTGTAGCGTGCCATCCCTGTTCTGTCCTCGCCAAACCCCATCGCCTGCGTGCATATATCCGTTAGGAGGGGACCCAACACCTGATGGATCCAGAGGTCGTTGCGAGTTGTCAGCGAGGGCCTGCAGTGCACGACGGGCTGGGCAAGGAGTGGCCAAAAAGCACAGTTATAAGTTATTCTTCAAACCAATGAAAAAAACAATTTGTGCAATAGCGGTGCAGCGCCAATAGGGGCCCATTAAGCCGGTTACTATGCAATTTAATCGTGGACTGATTCTCCGTAAGGGTTCCTTTTCGTCGTCCTGTACCTAGTGCCCTCCATTGGGGCCTTCCGAGGCGTCCGCCGCTGGCACTTACCACCCGCTTCGTACGCTTTGTGAAAAGCTTCAGTTGACAGCGACTTGTTGTGCGCGAGCTTTGTGCTCCTATCCTGGTGCAGCTGCACATGTTGCCACTTCTTTCAGCCAACTTGCCACCCTTTCGGCATACAAATTGTCACCTTGTCGTCAAAATCATCATCTGACCCTCTCTTTCACATCGCACGTTCCGTCTGTTCGCAATAACGGGAACGTGAGTAGTCTGTAATGCACTAACTTATCCCTATTCCCTCTCGCGGCATTGCCGTACAGGTGAAGGCTGTGGTCAGCGGTGGCGCCCCCCTGGCCCCCCACGTGGAGGACTTCCTCCGCGTCATCATGTGCGCGCCGGTGGTGCAGGGCTACGGTCTTACCGAGACTAACGCCGCGTCCTTCATTGCTGCAGCGGACGTCATGGTGCGTCCGGCGTGCTTTGGCAAGCCTCCTCCTTCCGCCTCCTCCTCCCGTCTTCCTTCCACCCGCTCGCAAGTCGAAAACACGGGGGGAGGCACGGGTCGTAAAGTAGCGGTCCTGTGGCGAAGCCCTCACAAGTCGTGGGAACCTCACGGCGCGCCTGCCGGCACGAGCTGTCTCCGGGCCTGTATACCTGTGAATGGCTTACGGAAGTACACCTGCATCATGCACGTGTTTCTGAACCGCATTCGAAGAAAAAAGCCCTGCTGAATCCATGCACTCCGACCGCGACCTGCAGGAGCACGCCGCAACGGTGGGGCCGCCCACCCCCTTGACGGAGTTCCGTCTGGAATCGGTACCCGACATGAAGTGCGATGCGCTGGACCCCAAGCTACCCAAGGGCGAGGTGAGTGCCTGTGCGCTGGCTTCCGATCCTCAAAAAGTCGGGCTCGAGTCCAGATACGACGGACCTGGCAAGCAAAGTCCTTTAGTAAATGTCGTGCAATGGATTTGACTGGATCACCATCGCTGCGCGCACCCGAATACTAGATGGTTCACCAGACGCGACTGTGTCCATGGGCCTTTACTCGGGGCTTGGGCGACATCCTTTGACACCGCCTGGGCGCTGTGTCCCGCTATGCGTCTTGCCGTTTGTCGACTTCAGGTCCTCATCCGTGGCGCTGCCAATTTCACCGGCTACTACAAGGCCCAAGACAAGACGGACGAGGTGGTCGAGAGCGACGGCTGGTTCCACACCGGTGAGGGGTGGGCCCTAGGCATTTGTGAAATCCTTTGGGTTTCTCGGATGGCGGGGCTAATGTGCCCACTTGGCACACGACCGGTCATATGGCTTCGGTCGGGGCTGCTGGGTAGCCCCCTGCTTATTTCTAAAGCACGTGGGAGAACTGCGCGCCTGCGACTGTGGCTCTGCACAGCAGCACTTGGGCCCTGGCGTGTCACGCAACCTCCTCATCGCTGTGGCTTCTTATTTATCGACGGCTAGATTCGCCAAACAGGATCTGCTTGGCTTTTTGTCGTAATAACAAATTTGGACGGCGTATTGTGGGCGGCTGGCGAGTCTTTTCCTGGCATATGAAGTGTTAGAACGCGAGCTGGAAGCCTTGCCTGTCAGGAGAGGCGCACAGAAGGAATGCATTAACAAGTTAGTAGATCAGGTCGGATTGTTTTGGTGCTGTCCGCAACAAACAGAAGGTAAATTAATGGGTCTTACGTTGCCAGGCGACATCGCCGTGATAACGCCCACGGGAGCTATCAAGATTGTGGACCGCAAGAAGAACATCTTCAAGCTGAGCCAGGGCGAGTACGTGGCGGTAGAGGCGCTCGAGTCGACCTACAAGAAGGCCACCGTGGTGGAGCAGGTATGGCCTGCGGATGGGGGAAAGGGGGGTGCATTGCGCCTGGAGTGGGTAGTGCTGGGGTGTGGTGTCGTTCCGCTTTGGGGGAAGGGGCGCACGCGGAGGGGAAATGCCGACCTACGTGTTTGGCTTTGCGTCGCTCCCTGTCACGCTCTTCACACAGGTTGTAGACTGCAACTTGCCAACGTGCTGATATGGCAATGCCTCATAGTACTTAATTTCGTTCGCTGAAGGTAATGCCATCTCACGCGCAAAGCAAATGGCCACATTCCACCCGCAACAGTTCCTTCTGTTCTTGTGCGTCATGTAGTCGCGTGGAAGATGGCTTTGCTAAGAAGCTCATGCCTCATGCATCTCAATATGCCTGTCGACTTGTCGCGTAGGTCTGGGTGTATGGCAACAGCTTTGAGAACTGCCTCGTGGCTGTAGTGGTTCCTAACAAGGCTGTCATCACGGCCTGGGCCAAGGAGGCCGGCGTGTCGGGCGGGTACGAGGAGGGACTTCTGGAGGATCCGCGTGTCAACCAGTACATCCTCTCGGTATGTGGTAACTTTGGCCGTTATGCAACACCCCAGTGGTTGCTGCGCGCACCCTTTCCGAAATGATTTTAGACCTCGCTGCGCGCACGAGTGACCAGGGCCAGGTATATCCGCAATTCGTGTATCGAACGGATTGTGTGTAGCGCGAATCCCGACTCTTATATGAACCATAGCTTATCATCTGAAGTGCACGTGCGCGGATTGTCGGGTTCCCTGGTTCAAGCAGGTTGCCTGGGTTGATGGGAACATTTGCAGGAGCTGGTCCGCGTTGGAAAGGAGGACAAGCTGAAGGGTTACGAAATCATCAAGGCGGTCCATTTGGATCACGTGCAGTTCAGCGTTGAGGAAGACCTCATGACGCCCAGCTTCAAGCTGCGCCGGCCGCAGTTGCAGGTGAAGTTGCAGTTCTTGGGAGTAGCATTGAAGTTGTGGCGAGTGGTGCTGCGGGGGCTGCTGCATGTATTGGGTGCGGAAGTGGGTGCAGTACATTGGCATTAGTCCGGCAGCATTTATGGCGTAGGTGGGGTGAGCAAGGTTCGAGATGTTCGGATTCCTTGGGAAAGGACGGGCAGGCAAAACGTGATCGACATCTGTTTATGACAACGGCCCTTACTACGATTTTTGTATCGTGCGCAGGCGAAATACCAGAAAGTGATCGACGCCATGTACACGGACATCAAGAAGAAGGAGGCGGTAAGATTACAGCGTGAGGCAACTTTAATAATGGCGGTGGCTAGGAAAGGCAGAAGGTGCTTGTCCTGTGCACGGAATACATCTTCGACTACGGAGACGCTTTGGTCTTGATGTATTTGTTCCTCTCTGTCGATTGCCTGCTATTTGGTCCACAGGAGAAGACGCGCGAGTAATTGTGTTAAGCAAATGGAGCTTGTCATCCGGGCTTGGCAATTTGCGGATAAAGGACCGGTGAAAGCGCATATGTATGTACGCTCGGAGCTGAGATAAGCGGGGCTGTGGAGGGGAAGGTTTCATAGAAGACACTCTGCTCGAAGGCACACTCTTACGGGCATTTGTTTTGGCACCGGCTGGCAATGCCGTGGTGAGCATTGAATGGGAGGTTCAGTGGATATAGCCGTTGACCCGACCTGCTGATGAGGATTGCGATTGTATATAACTTGCCCTACAAACTGAAGTCGGATGGGGTGAATGGATTAGGGTGCCCCTCCAGCAGGGGAGAGTAGGGAATTGCCTCGGGAAGGAGGCTACTGGTGAAGCTTAACCACCCTGTAACATCAACTTGCCTAATTCGTTACTTTTCCTATCGAAGTCTTATTATCTCAGGGCTGAACGATGCGTATAGGAATGGTCGACGTTGTGGACGAGGACGTAGGAAGAGAAGTTGTCAGGTGTATAGGAATGTGACATAAAACGCGAATCCGTGCCAGTTCTGTAAATTTATGTCACTCCTTTAACTTAATTGCATGGTGCGTGTACAGGTAAAGATGATATAGACGTGATATACGCATAGCATGAGAAAATGTTATATGAGAAAATGTTATGACAATAGAATGCAAGTCAACACAGCAATATCCATGAAATCTCATCCTGCTTCAACTTTATTATAACCCGTCCCACACAGTTAAGCTGGAAAAACGAACCGACAAATACGTCCGCACAACATATCGAAGTTTACCACAGGAGTCAATGACAGGAGTACACGCATGGGAAAGTGAACCAACGATTTTCCTCACAACGTCCACGTTGCGAAATCCTTTCGCACACCACAAGACTAGGCACACCGCAAGGTGACAGGATTCGAACCACTGTTTAGCAGGCAGACAGCTAACTGGGAAGCCCGACATCGCGTACAAAAAGCCCACGCCAGTGTAAACATATGCATTCTGTCATACAGCCACCCAAACCAACAACCGCCTCCCTAAACCAGGTCACTTAGCGTCAACAGCTGGTCGCCGCCCTCGAGACCTGTGTCGTACGACATTCACACGGAAGCGACTTTTGAACAACACACAAAGATACCCACACCTAGCAATCATATACCGATGAAGCCTCCACATAACCTTCCATCTCCAGCATCGCCACTCCTCAAATGAATCGGGATAACCGGGCAACTCGCTGCGTGACCGACACACCCCTAAGCACGAGCCAGGCGGCTGTCATGTGTACCTGACCATTTTGCACGTCAGCGCCACCAGGAGCCGTGGACTCCGGGCGCTCGTCTCCAGCACGTCGTGCCAAGCTCTTCAGGCCACCCAGTAAAAACCTCAGCACACGCCTTTACACATTGTCTTGAAGTACCGCATCAAGTGAAAATCAAATGCGATACGCCCCGAGGCCCGTGTTGCGATGTGCTGCGAATGCGGCCCTCCGTGTGGCGAACGAAGTCACCACGTATGGTCAAATCCCACAGGAAACATAGAAAACCGCATTCTCGAGCTCGCCCCAGCCTGGGGAACCTGATGTGAGACGTTCAACCACCCACACCAGCTCAAAGGTCCCACATCCTGGCTGCTACCAGGAATGCAAATCAAGGAAGGACCTACGTAATGCCAACATGCAAGCTGCCCACAAGTGATGATAGCACGTGCTAGGCACGCATTCGCCAGCCGCCGACAGTTACAGTTGTTCAGGCTGCAGACCTGCCTGTGAAGGGGAGTTGCCTGCTGGGGCTCCCACCGCGTTCATGCCGGTAGACTCCCGTGTTGCCTACAGTGCATTGAATGGATGGTAGGCAAACATGGCAGAGGGGATCATGCAAGGGCCATCGGGGCTAGCTGGGCAGACCGGATTAGCTTTCCGACCCAGCATACTGTTATATGTTCAAGTCATTTAGCCTTGAAGCCCCCTTTACAATAACACACGCTCGGGCAGGATATGCATGCGGCCGGTCTACCCATGTGTCTTTGGCGCTGACACAACAATTGGAAACGAGCGGGCACGCCTTTCCAAAGACTGCGTCATCTGGAGACTGGTGTGGCGACGCTACCACATTTCCATGGAAAGGTTGAAGGTGCTAACTCCAATACTTAAGGTAGACCCCCGACATTTTTGGGGATTATAGCGAGCCTCCAAGATGAGCACTCGCTGTCACAATTGGTGGACCGAAACTTGCGAACTTAATTTGCGGTTCCAATTTCTGTACCAATTGTCTGTATGGATGTTCAGGTGAGCGTATGAGATGAGGTGCTAGAATGCCAGAACCCCCCGCGAAGGCTGGACATAATTAAGTGATTACGTGGCGGTGGTGGTGAAGGGCGTCTGTTACGCGGTTTTGAAAAGTCGAGCAGCTGAACTCTTAACAGCTGTGCACATCACTGCAAACATTGCATTTGTAAATGTAAACGTAAACGCAGCTTAGCCAAGCCTAGGCGTCTGCCAGCAAGACCCCCTGTTGCCATCACTCCGCCCCTTCTGCTCACCTGCAGCAGCTCTCGCAGCATGACCTCCATATCCTCTAGCTCCTTCACAATCTCCCCAAACGACGGTCGATCCGCGGGATTGTGCGCAATGCAGCGCTTACCGAGGTACTCCAAGTGCGGGAAGCAGTCCGGCGGCCATTGCGGCCGGAGACCCTACAGGGTGCGAATGCAGACGGTGCCGCCAGCATGCGTAAAGTAAGTATACTGAACACCCGAACCGGTGCTCCACGAGAAGATCGGTTCGTTTAGAGGCAAGCCTCCTCTGACAGCGTCACTAGCACCCGCAGCAGGCCGCATGACTCCTGTCCACGCTCCCTGTTCATTGGGAGAGCACTGAGGGCACCTAGACCAAATCCTAGAGTCCCCACGGCGACAGCATATTGCCGTTGCCGATCTTGCTTCACGCCTCGCACATAAGCAATTCATACCTGCGAGACCGACTGGATGACCTCTCCCTGCGTCATATTCTCGTACGGCTTCTTACCCGTGACCATCTCCCACCTGTTTATGGAAGAGAACCCAAAAATGGCCCATTAGCGCAGGCAATCGCCACAATCACGTCCACTTAGACCTTTACACCAAGCAGTCACACAGCTCAGTGCACTGATCCGTGCCATGTACCATGCTCAGTAAGGTAAAAATTGCAGTACCACCTAATCGCGAAGTCTCGCACAGAGTGCCGAACACTAAGAATGGTTGGGCGTGGAAGTACCGGCACGAGCCTGAGGGTAGCCTGGCATGGGACATGGCTGCGGCTCTTACAACGACCTAGGTCTAGACATCCGACTCACAGTAACATCCCGAAGGCGAAGACGTCAGTGGCCTTCGACATGGTGCCGGAGAAGTGCTCAGGCGCCATGTAGCGCAGAGTCTGCAGGGCAGCCCCGGCAAAGGCAGGATGAGGGCTTTGCCTGGCACGAACTTGACGCATACCTTGTGCTATGTGAGCATCTTCGACAAGGGTCAAGCTGGACGCTGCTCGCCTACAGCTGCTTAACCACCCACATTATAAACCCACGTTATCTCCACCCCTACATTCTCGACCAATACTTGCTCACCCAGCTATCTGCATTCCAATTTTAATTTACTTCCATAGCGCTTCACGTGCTGGAGGAGACACTCTTAACAATTCCGTATCCCCACGACAGGTCATAGTCATGCCATTCCAACTTACCCCCCACGTATTCGTCGCGATGGGCCCATGCGCCACATGCGAGAGTCCGAAGTCCGCCAATTTGGCAATAAAGCCACGGCGGTCCACACGGGCAGACGTTAGGAGCACATTTCCAGGCTTCAAGTCGCCTGCCAGACAGGGAAAGGGGCCTTACGCTGAAGTGCTGAATCAGGCCAGTACTGAGTAGGCCAGTGCTGGGTATGCGGAGGTGTCATAACTTACGGCCTTACAGCCTGGAATGAAATCACCTACGTTGGCAGAGCAGGGCTCACAGCTGATCTGAGGATGGAACTTCTACGTGGCCCTTGCAAACCCAGGACCAAATTTCCCAGAGCGAAAAACGGAGGCACTAATGCACCTTGCATTGAAAAACTTATTGGTGGACGATGGCCTTGAACTTGCAGAGGAATACAAGCCATTATCGCACTTAGAGTGCAAACCGTTTGGTTCAGTTCAGCACACAAGTCGGCATGCCCGAATGAGGCTTAGCGCCAAGGGAGCCCGGTGAGCCTGCTTTCACCACAAGCTGGCATCTAACCCATATGCATATGCCAACCTTACCGTGAAGAACGTTGCTGCTGTGCAGGTGCTGCATGCCCAGGGCAATCTCACGCGCCGTCCGGAACAAGGCGCGGGCGGCAATGCGCTTGTTCCATCGAGGGCTTTCCCGAAAGACTTGCCGCTTATAAATTGCCTCCTGCAACGTACCCTGCTCACATGGTTTGAAGCCCGGGGCAGGAGCGCCGGCCAACGTCATCGACAACCCGCTGCAACGGCAAAAACTAGCGTCGCATCTCTTGCGACGGTTCGTGCTGTGGGGCTTGCTCAAGAACAAATGGGAGATGCAGGTGGCTGTTCCAGAGAAATGCACCCCCCCCTAGATCACCATGCTCCTGGTCATGCTCTTGTTGAACGAGGGAAGCAGCTTTCGGTGTCTCGATTTGCATCCGATGATAGGGGGTCATCATTTCCGGCCCCGATCATGCACGCGGCACCATGAGCCTAGCCCAACAAACGCTTGACCAAACGCTTGACCAACAAACGCTTGACCACGCCAGACTTATGCCTCTAAGCAACAGGACGCCCAATAGCTAGGATACCACACGCAAGGCCGAATACCAAAGTATGCCAGCCTTCTGTCATGCCCCCAGCTGCTCAATCGCGCACGTCGCAACGTTCCACGCATGTAAAAGACCCACCCTGTCCGCGTACTCCATGATGACAACGGCAACGTATTGGCCCGGTTTGACCTGCAACTGTAGCAGGATGTTGGAGACGGAAATCGTGCCGCCTCCCGCTTTGTGCCGTGGGTCGCCAAACCTGCAATCAAATTTTGGTGGCATGCATTCCGTCGAATTCGTCCAATGGAAGTGCAGTTGGCCCACTTTCTACAAGTACCCTCTCCAGTCGGTAACCTCTCTGTCCAACGCTACCCACCCGTCGCCACTGACGAAACGCATGCTGTCGCCGCTTAACCGTCGTGCGTCGTCCGTGGCCGAACCGTGGATGGCATCAAGCGAATCGTCGTCCATGAGCGCGCACCGCGTAGTGTACGTCTAAGGAGGGAGCCAGGCAAAATACATGGGAAGGACACGCCGGATGGCAGCAGAAACCCGGGTCATCGAAACGGGAAACACCGATATTGCTCAGTTCACGAAGGTAGGAACCCATATGGCGCAGGTTGGACACGCACCTTAAGATTAAGGTGGGAGACCAAGGACTCAATAGGGCATGTTAGATGCCTAAAAAAGGAAAATACGGCTGTACCGCACAACTTCGCAAAGTGCGCACGACGCCTTTACAAGGGTGCACACAGGTCGGATGCCGCAGCGTACGTTTATGTAACGTAGTGGTAGCATGCATGTGCGTAATCGACACGGGGTAGCTACAAGCGATCAATGAAAGGCCTTGGTGCAGCAGCACGTACCACCTGTTGCCCAAACACGCGCGTTCTCGTACCTGGATGACATTGGGATGAGACAACAGCTGTCCAAGCAGGGACTCGCGAAGCGTCACACTGTTTGAGTTCAGACTGTCCGAGACGACAAACTTTATAGCGACTTTGGCACCCTGCCACAGTCCTGCAAGTTGACGAAGACCTCCAATGTTTGCACATTGAAAATAAATATTCGCAAGACAAGATACCGTTAGAACGCACCCTTGAATACCGCGGCAAAGGAACCGTTCCCAATGAATGCCAAGTCCTTGATGTCCCCCACCAACTCCTCTGGTTTGCAAAGCTGAATGTTCGATTGGCAAAGTGTTTGCTCGCTGGTCAGCTTCAAACTGTGTGTATAGCAGCCCGGCTGTGGCAGGGGAACCGGAGCCCGGCCAGGGCCGGGTTTCCCGTCTTCGGGTGCTGGTCGTGTCTCCTCCTCCTCAGTCGACTCTTCCACAGGCTCTGAAGATGGAGCCTGTTCAGCAGCTGGTGCTGGATTGCTGGTTCCGCTCCCGGCGCCTTGAGCAGGCGCAGCGGCCTTGTCCTCAGATGCTTCCTAAAAACAGCGGTAGGCACGTGCACACAATAATTCGCAACTTCTATTGTGGATAGCCAATAAAAAATTGGAGACACTGAAGCGTATAATCCTTCTCTCCGGCCGCACCTGAGTGCTCCTGGTAAAGCTGGAGTTGCTCAACTTCTTGCTTATAGAGCCCGTAAGTGCTCCGCTTGCCCCGGGACCAAGCACGTTAACCTCTGCTGCTTCCGGCTGCTTTGGCGAGGGTTGCGCCACAGCGACAGGCTCTGGCTCGCTCCCTTTCACAATGGTCCGCCCTCCCGAGGCCGAATGCTTCAGACCACCTCCACCGAAGCATGAAAACAGTGGCATTTTCAGGACAGCGACGAAAATACCGCTGCGTGAGTCAAGCTAGCCACCACCGTCCATTTCGTGAAACAGCATAACAGCTAGGAACAAGGTTTGCCGTATGCGCCCTAGGCCGTAAGGGTTATGCCTGGATTCATATAAGCGCAGAATCTTTGTCCTTCAGTTCGAAAACACTATTCTGCCATGGTCTTCGTACAACACGGCAACCATGATTATCAAAACGGGGACATTGTTCCCAATGGAAAAAGGCTTGCCAACACGCTTGTTTTAGTCTGATTCAATTGAAAACCTGCCAGTCTGCGGCCCATGGGGACGAAACACCATCGGCCCATGGGCATACTGTCACAAGTAGTGCAAAGCTCTCGTTCACATCTACTCGAAGACTTCGTTTGCGAAGCTTAAAGTCAGGAATAGTCAACGCCGTACATTGTACAGCTCTATCATTATTGTGTTGCAGCTTTTGTTGAGGAGCGCCAGGCACGTGTTGGCGAGGACGCAATCTACATTTGTAAAGCTGCCTTAATGTGTATTGCCCATGACGTTTGCAAGCAGCCTAGTCCCCATACTCGGGCGTGTGATGATACCGCTCCTCCTCTCAAAGGGAGCAAAGTGCCCAATACCGACAGCCCGCTCTGGGCCACTTCAATTCCTCCATGGAGCCCCAAAACAAACTATGTGACCCTCAGCTGCGAAGCCCTTACAGCCGCGGCCCACCCAGTGCACCCTGAGCTTCCTTGCTGAGCCGCCACTGCAGGCGCGCACACGACGCCAGCAGCGCAGCCACCTGCTGCTCACTCAGTAAGGAAGCCAGGCAAACCACCCTCTCCTCCGTAGCCCTCCGGAAACGGACGCCGGGCCGAAAGCCCAGCGCAGCAAAAGCACGCACCATTGTCAACAGCTCAGAATCAGACGCCCAGGCCACATCCAGTGCCGCGCGCCTCTCCAGCTGCCGCATTACCACTGCGCTGGGCCGGCTGGACAGGCATGCTAACGCCCATATCGCCACGCACACATTCCGTGCCGACCTCTCCGACCCCGGGACAGTCCCCTCCGCCTTTTTAACCCCGTCCTTCCCAAACATGCCATCAGTAGAATCCGTCGCAGCATCCACCGCAACAGCAGCGCTGGGCCCGGCAGTCACGGCGAAGAGCGCCTTGCGGAACAGCTTGTTCCTCCCTCCCGCATCCTTCTGCGTCCCCAAAACCGCAGTAGCGGGGAAAACACCCACAGCAGGAGAAGCCTTGGCTGCCGCCATGTCGCACTCAGCTGCCTTAAGCGCTAGCTCTCCCGCGATATCATCCGAAACCCAGCAACGCAGACGCGCCAATGACCAAAGAAGCATGCGCGCACACTGAGGATTGACGCCGCCGACTCCCTGCTCAGCCTGCTTTCCCATGCCATACCCACCGTCGCCACCGCCGGGCCCCAGGCCCTCATGCCGCTCCGACCCGGCCGGCGCCCCAACACTGCCATTTCCTCGCGCACGATGCGCCTGTTCAACAGCAGCATCCACAGCAGCCCCGGCATGCCAGTCGGCAGCCATGCCCGCCAAGGCGGTCGTCACAATCCTGGCAGTCCAGCCCGATACTATCGCATCAGGCCGCAGCCCCATGCGCGCCATGGCCTGCAGCGCCATCGCCAGCGCCGCCGGGTCCATCAGGCCCTTCCCTGCCAGCCACTCCAGCTGTTCCAACACAGCGGACGTCCAGCTCACCGGCACACGCACCTGCCACGCCTCCACACACCAAAGTAGGCTGGCCAACGTTCGGCCCGTTGCCTGGATCCGGCTGGGGCTCCGCTGAGTGCCGCTATGCGGCGACGAGCCATCGCCTGCGCCAGGGGCCGCCAACAGAGGAGGCGGCGGAAGAAAGGTATGCTGATGCTGTTGCTGCCGCAGCATGGCCTGACTGGTTAGCTCCAGTACGGCAGCTAGCCACCGGTCGGGTGGCTGTAGTCGCAGCTTCGCGGAGGCCATGGCTGTACCCACCAGCTCCTCGGTCCGCATGGCAGGCAGAGCGGCCTGCGAGGCGAGCCAAAACTGCGCCTCCCATTCAGGTGGGGGTTGCAGACCCAGCACCGCAGCCGCCCAGGAGGTATTGGCAAGCTGCTGCGGGCTGTAGACATGCAGATGGCGCGAGGACGCCTGGAGCAGCCTCCGCCCCGCAGACTGCATCGCTTCCCGTGCAGCCAATAGAGGCTGCGGCTGCGGCGACGGCGGCGCCGCCGCCATAGCCGCCTGCGCGTTTCCCGAGGCGGTTCCGGGGCTGTCCCAGGCTGGAGGTGTGTGTACGTCGTGTATGTGGTCCGTGCCCGACGGCGGAGGCAGGGGAGAAAGGCGCATGTGCAGGCGGGCTATGGCCCACATGCCATTGGCCACATCCTGACCTCCGCACCCGCGCGCCGCGGAGCCGAGGCCGGATAGCAGGGGCAACAATACGCGCGCTCTGGGTGCGTCGTCTGCCGTAAAACCCAACTTGGCGAGGGCCCAGAGCGTGTTACAGAGGCCCTGATGCAAGGTATTATTATTCAGGTTATTGTTCAGGTCCGGCATTGTTAAGGTCGTACTGTGTACCGTGGTACGGCAACGGCAGACTAAAAATCGTATGTTATGGAACGTTAAGTTTGTCAAGGAAAGGCACCGGGGAATCGTCGCTATGATAGTCGACATGACCTGGCCTGCGCCTCGCTGCCAAGTTGGACATCGGAAATCAGAGAACGGAACGACACCGCGATGCTCTGTGAAGGATTAAATAACTACTCTGCGTGTGCGAAGGAGGAAAGCCGGATGCGGGTAGAGGTGTAGTGCGGTATCGCCTCAACCATGGGCCCGCTGGAGCCACATCGCGGGATGGGACCGCTGAGGAGGTGATGTAGGTCCTGTGCCGCGGACAGCCTCAGCACATACACCCAACCCTTACACCTCGCGGCTCAGTTCATTTTCACGAACAACACACACACACACACACACACACACACACACGCAAAGGAAAAAACACTGGGTCTAGCACACCGTGGGTCCACACCGCCATGACCCACACTCTTCACGCACCTGCATCGTAAACGCAGGTGCCTTCAACGCCGCGGCCTGTAGCGCAGCCATAATCCACGCGTCTCCGGGGTCGTACCCCAGGCGCGCGAAGGCCCATAACATATTAGCAATGTGCTGCGGGTCCGCGCGCAGCAGCTGACCTGCGGACGCGCCCAGCCACGCCCGCAACCAGCTCCGAGGTGGAGAGATCCCCAAGCTCGCCAGCGCGTACAACGAGTTAGACAGAGCCTACGTGGAAAGCGCCGCCGCAGGGCCCCGGCAAGTCCGCAACTCGCCGTCAAGGCCACACGCGATGGGGCTGCAACACGTAGACCTCTGGGAAGGGCCGATAGACAGCTCTGTGCCTGAAGGTATCCAAGATTTGTCGCCGCTAACCCGGCCTGTCCTTCACACCCCGATTCGCAGTTACCCACCCACCAGCACATGCGCGGCCGGGCCCCACTTAAGCCACGCACGGGAGGTCTGAGGCCTACAACGTTACACCTAGCGATGTGCACCTGCTTGAAGTGCTCACCTTGCTCACGCAATAGCAAATAGTGACGCACCTGCGGCCCAAAGCTTGACAGCTTCGGCAGGCTGGCGTTCAGGAGCGCCGCCACCAGCCGCTGTACCCCCGCCCCGTCGCCGCCAGGCACCCACGAAAGCCCAGACTCGCCCGCAGCACACGCCACCGCAGAAGATGACGACGCGGTCACCCGCCAAACATCAGCAGAAACGCTACTGTTGCTGCTGCTGTTGCTGCTAATGCTGCCGCCCACGGCACCGCCCCCGGCGGAAGAGCTTGAGACCGCCTCAAGCTCCTCCCCGGGCGACCTAGCCGCTGCCAGCTGTGCCACGGCGTACAGCAGGCTAGACACGTGTTGGGGCTCCAGGGAGGGTGCTACGTTGGGCACGAGCGCCAGCAACGCACGCAGCGCTGCCCAGGCACGGCGCTGCAGCAACGACGACGTCGCGGGGCTAGCACCCTGCCTGACGGCTGCAACTTCATCTCCTTCAGACAACCCAGCACGAGGCTTCCCTGCATTGCTGTTGGAAGCTATTGAACAGGCAGGTCCCACGATTGCCGCAGCCTTCTCCCGCGACGGCCACAGCAGCATAATGAGCCGAGCCGCGGCCCATGTCGCATTCGCCAGCACGCGTGCCGGCATCGGTGCTGCACCAGCCATTGGTGCCGTAGCGGACGTCTGGCCACCACCGATACGGTGCACCAGCGCTTCTAATAAAGCCACACACAGACCTTCAGGTGAGGTTTCGGGGCGCGGCTGCCCAGGGCCATGGCCACCTTGTCCCGGGGTTGAGGTCGTCAGGGCTCCGCTAAGTCCCCCAGGCGGCCCCAGCTGACTTACACTCGTTGCGCCGTTCAGAGTCATGGAACCCACAGACCCCGGAGGTGACCGCAACCCTCTCGACGACAACGGCGGCAGCGCCTGACCCACATCGGTTAGAGGCAGAGCGCGCGGTGCGGGCCCGAACCGTGATCCGCTGAGTGTCGAGAGGGGAGGCTGAAGTGGCAGCGGCGGGGGCGGCAGGGTTGTTGCTGGTGCCGACAGTCGGGAAGGAGCAAGCGGAAGGGGAGGGTTTTGGAAACGAGAGTTTCCGATAGGGACTTGCACTCTGGCTTCTAAAGACGGCTGCTGCGGTTGCTGCGCCTGCTGTCGTTCCTGTCGTCGTTGTTCCGGGGACCCGGTGAGATCCGTCTTTGCTAGCCTGGTAAGCGCAGCTGAAAGGTGAATTTCGTTGAGGGATGCAGCACCGCCGTACTCGTGCGTGATGGTTGCCAGATCGGTCCATGTCCGGGCCCGGGAGATGAGGTGCGTGATATGCCGCGCGACAGAGGCGTTATGGATGGCTGAGGACGTAGGCAGCTGGCTTGGCTGCTGCGAAGAAATTTCTCTGAGGGTGGGAGAGCGGTTACCTGGAGGACTGGTAGGGCCAGAAACAACAAGCCGAGGTGCTCCTTTTGGGCCAGGAACCGCAGAGTCGAATGCCCTACCCGCCTGCCCTTCGACGAGCTTTGGCGCATCTTCCCTCTTGCGTACTTGTTTGGCTGGTTGAAAGCTCAGGTTTGTATTGCCTCGGGTCGCAGCACACTGCTGCCGATATAGGCGTGGACAAGCATCCTCGCCGCCGCGGCTGGGGCCAAGTTGGTGAAGCGCTGGAAGCCGTCCAGGAATCAATTTAGCGCCTTTCGAGTATTCAAAGTAAGGGCTGCCACAGATGAAAGACGTCCTGAAGGCACGCTCTCTGGAGGAAGCAGCATACCGGCTCAAACCTTCTCGAACCATAGCAACCTTTCGCCACGTGTGAAAGCATCATAATACCTTCTAACGTTTAGGCCATTTTTTAACCTTTACCACAATCACCTTGAAGAGCAGCGTTTAGCAATCCTCACATATGAACCGTGCAAAACCAGAGGGCACCTTGTCGTGCATGGAGAAATAGCACCCGAACGCATACACCTCAGTCTATGCGGATACTCCTTGCGACTCAGCCCCATACACCCTTTCAGCCAATGACCATTCTGGTAGCAGTCACGAATGAGTGGCCCAATTTTTGGTTGGCTAGTGACACTTAAAATTTATTTGAGGAACACTTTCATGATACAGTAACTTGATGTTTTTGAGGTCTTTAATACGCGTATTTCATTGATGTCATTTGCACCATGACCGGCTGCTGTTCGTCAATGTTTTACCACCGCCGTATAGTGATGCATGACTACAAAGTACAGAGATGACATAGAAGCATGAATCCGAGCTCTTAAATGTAGGAAAATACAGGTATCCGTCGAATTAGGCAAAGTCCGTTGCACCGCTGGAGGAAACTTAGCGTCCGCATACAACGCCCACTGCTGCACTCGCGCTTGCCATCTCACACCTCGCACATCGCGCAACCTCGCCGACTCCGTTCAAAGCAGCGAACCTGGCTAGCCATGGCGCGCAAATGGGTACAATCCCTGTACACGTCTGCACGCCCCTCCAAACGTTATGTCAAATTCAGCCCTGGGAACATATGACGCCAAACAACGAAACTTCCCTACACACCACGCATGCCCGTTTGCTACAAGCGCGAACGAAAACCCTAAAACCCTAAGTCCTGGCTCGCGACACATACGTGCATTGCTCTGGCTACTTTACTTGCCATGTTCACTCCATCGTACGGCCCCTTCTTCCTGTTCCTGACCCACGGCTTGCCCTTCGTCCCCACCCTCCACGAGGCTTACGAACCCCCCTTGGCCCTTGGCTTCCTCCCTGGCCCCTGCTGTGACTGTGTCTCCTGCCCCGGGCCCTTCCCCTTGCGCGTTGCCTTCCGCGCTCCTCAGCCAGCCATTCCACACCAGACCCAGAGGAGTCATCCAATCCACCTGCTGTTGCATCGCGGGCAGTTAGCTTCCCCAAAATGAGTGCATGTGTGTCCTCTGATATGCAGAACTTCTTGTCCTTCGTCCTCACAGGCACGTTGGCCATGATGAGGTCGTCGACCCGTGCTGCAGACAGAAGCATCCTGCCGTCTCGATAGAAATGAAGATGAGAACCATCAGCATGGTACAGCCATCGGCCCTTCACGATTCGGGTCCCGGGCTCGAACTCCTTCTGGTCACCGTCTTTCCACTACGCTGTCCACATCACCCGACTCTCCTCCGTCAGTGCCATCTGTCTCAATCTCTGCCAAGGTGTCATACTGCGGGTATTGTGGGGTGGAATGTTAGGCAAAGCACATTGGAGTGAGGCAAACATGTACTTCAGGCACTCGAAATTTCATGTCATTGCGTACTTGCAGGTCAATCCCTTCACTTAGGCGGCTGTGGCTTGGCAAGATTATTATCCTCCACTCCGGTGTACAGAACCCCACAACTGTTGCGTCACATGATTGTAGCTTCAACACAGCACACGTGTATGGTGGGAGGTTGCTGTAATCGGTATCCACAAGAAAAAGATCACGGCGATGTAGGCCGAGCAAAGGTGCTGAAACGCGTGCCTCACCTTGCGCCTCAAAACTCAATTGGATAGGTAACCCCCAAACCAACCTACCAGGTACTCTGGCCACTCCAGTCCTCGTATGCCACAGCTTGTACAGGTGCCATCCAAGCACGACATCGCTGGATGCTGGGCGGGGCATTGCTCGGGGGCCTTGCACAGTGCTGCCTCGTACAGTGAGCCAGCAGTGAGCGTAGCTGGTAACGCCCGGACACTGTCTGAATGGCGGCGAAGCCTTTTGATGCTTGGGTGGAGTGGCAGGAGCTGACGCTTGCTTTGCACAGCAGATACCAGCCCCTCATAGTTGATGCACCTTACACAAACGCATACACTGCGTTGCTTTTCCTGTATGGACACATATAAAATGTAGGAAACAGTGTCTACACCAACAAAAAATGCCAATGCATAAGCGCAAGCAAGCATGTTCGCGTGTAAGCCTGACATACCTTGAAGGGCTTAATCCACTGCGGTTTTGCACCCCAGAAAACACCGTATGACACAGGTTTAGGGTCGTCGTACTTCAGTGACCTGACATACTGCAAGTACAGCTGCTTGTAGCTCCGCTGGACGAACATGCACGGCAGGTATGACCGCACAGATGTGATGCACTGTTACCCTCACGTAGTCGTCGGCCCGTGGGCTGGCCTCGCTGTTCGCCAACCAGAAATTTCTAACAAAATGCAACGTTTCCTCGCTGGTACGGTCACAGCGTTGTACGGTCACAGCGTTGTACCAGCCAGTAGGGTTCATATGGCTGTGTGTGTGACCCACTGATGACTTCCTCGTGACGGCGGGCGTGCAGCCTAATTACGGTTTGTTTTAAGCCTAATCGCTTATTCACAGCGGAAACAAGCCGCCCTTTAATTACTGCTTGACCTGCACACGATGCCAACAGCCAGGAAGGATAGTGGCACATGGCTGAAGGACATGCAACCGCCGGTATTACATCAGTGGCCCGAGGTGCAATTATACCTGACACAGCAGTAGCAACGGCACTCCAGCCAAGCTTCAGGTCCTTGCGTTGGCCACCGGTCCGCCGAGTACAGTCTAGGTATTCACGGACTGAGGTCGCGATGGCTTCGTTGACCTCGACGGACTGAAACGCCTTTGGCAGCCGGTCTTTGTTTTTACTGTTGCAAATGCCCTTCAGCAATTGCGCTAGCTCGTTTGGAGTGAGGTCGGCTACCTGCTGTAAAATGTTTTTTACCCTCTGAGAGGACATTTATGTTACACTGCAGGTACGCGTTTTACTTGTGGAGCTGTAGGTACAATGCAGACTACGATACTTTGTATGAGCAAAACGCTCTTTATACAGTGAAACGCTTCGTTGCAGCATCTTAGGAAAATGCCGGCGAAGTGCGTAACGCCGGCGGTGGGGTAATTACGGGTAACGCCGGCGGTGGGCGAATTTGTAATGCCTAATGCGCCGCAGCGCACTTCTTTTGGCTTTTATTAACTATGAATTGCTTGAAGGTCGCGCATTTGCAGGATTCTGCCCGTGGGCGGGCCCAGTCTCGGGTATGTGAGATGAAAGCGCGTACTTTTGGACGTTGTTAGTCTGCCATCGGCAAACCTGTGACACTTAAGAAGCTATTATAAGTTTAAGGTACTTGTTTGCTCATTCATGAATGCGCTGCAGGCTTGTGTGGCAATGTCTCAGGGAAGCCCTCGCGAGCTGTTGTATCCGCATTCCAGAGTACGAAGTCTAGGCAACATGCATGACCCTGTTATATTGAGCGATGCCCTTGTTTTATAAATTGTTTCGTGGAACGGCAGCCTCTGGCAAGAGCAACGCACTCGGTATGCTGTTACAGCGGAATGCGCGGGCGCGATGGAACACACAGGATGTACGTTCCAATACGTCCCTATACGTTCACACATTATGGGTTCCCACTCCATGGCTCCAAGCCGTAAGCAATTGTTTGCTTCAAATTATGTTACAAATAGCGGGTTTTGGTAAGCGTTGTCCAGTAAGCGTACTTGTGCGCGTACTTCGGCATAAGCATGGACGTGGTTAGTCTGCCGTCGGCAAACCTACGTCACGTTTTCACACGCGTTGTGGCACCCAATAAGCTATTATAGATATAAGGGACCTGTTTGCTCATTTATATCAGCGCCGCGGGCTTGCGTAGCATTGTCGCAGTGGAGCCCTCGCGAGCTGTTGTATCCGCATTCCAGCGTACGAAGTCTACGCAAGATGCATGACCCTGCTCTATTGAGCGATGCCCAAAACATTATTCATGTTTACTGGAACGTTAGCCTCTGGCAAGAGCAACGCACTCGGTATGCTGTTACCGCCAGGAATGCGCGGGCGTGATGGAATACGTTGTTCCTACGATCCAATACGTCCCTATACGTTCACACATTATGGGTTCCCACTCCATGGCTCCAAGCCGTAAGCAATTGTTTGCTTCAAATTATGTTACAAATAGCGGGTTTTGGTAAGCGTTGTCCAGTAAGCGTACTTGTGCGCGTACTTCGGCAAAGCATGGACGTGGTTAGTCTGCCGTCGGCAAACCTACGTCACGTTTTCACACGCGTTGTGGCACCCAATAAGCTACTATAGATATAAGGGACCTGTGTGCTCATTCGTAAGAGCGCCGCGGGCTTGTGTAGCATTGTCGCAGGGGAGCCCTCGCGAGCTGTTGTATCCGCATTCCAGCGTACGAAGTCTACGCAAGATGCATGACCCGGACCTGTTTAACAATGACCATTTTATAAATGTTTCTTGGATTTTTAAGCTATGGCAGGCGCAACGCATTCGGTATGCTGTTACTGCAGTTGCCAGGGACGCGCGGCTGTTGCTGAAGTACGTTCCTATATATAAACCACAAATTATTGGTGCTTGCCTTGTGTGTGCACGAGGAGCAAAGGGTTTCCCACAAGAAGCACAAGCTGCCGCATGTGAACACAGGCAACTGCAGGGACCATGTGGAGTACATGTCCTTTGCAGAAGTGCGCAGGGAGCTGTCGAAGTTGAAGCTGCCTGCATCTAAGATCCCTGAGTACGCCCATGTGTGGGACAAGCCCCACCCCTGCGCCCTTGCCAGTCATAAGCAGCGGGGAAAGAAAAACACCGAGGAAGCTAGGGGGGTAGCACTGCCTGAAGCAGGTGGGCCTGGCATAGGTGGGCAAGGTGACGTGCTCGCTGGCAGCGCTGGTGCTGCTGGTGCTGCTGGTGCTGCTGGTGCTGCTGGTGCTGCTGAGGGTGCACCTGAAGATGGACACGACAACATACAAGGGGGTGGGGCGGGAAGGGTGGAGGAAAGGGGACGTCAAACAGCACCAGCCGCCAGGAGAAGTGCAGGGATGCAAAGCGGTGGGGGCACTGCTGGTGCTGGCGGGCGTGCCACTGGTGCTGGCAGGATCGGCACTGGCCATGGCGGCGGTGCAGCTGGCCCTGTGACTGGTGTACCTGGTGATGGCCAGGTAGGCACTGGCTATGGCGGCGGTGCAGCTGGTGCTGGTGGGGTTGCTGCTGGCATTGGCGGGGATGCCGCTGGCCATGGTGAAGGTGCTGCTCGTCTCGGGGCTGCTGCTTCAGTCGGCAGGTGCACCACAGGACAGGGCGCCAGCGCAATAGACGACGAAGACGAAGACAACAGCATGGATGAGTTGAAACCCGTCGACAGTGATGCCGAGCCGTCCATAGTGGCTGAGCCGTCAACGGCGCGCAACCCTGCTGGATTACGGGAGATGCAGCTAAGGGAGGGTGGTGCCACCTACGAACGTGCAACGGCTGCAGGTCAGTTAATTAGTGGCCAGGATCCAGTCATGTGCCTTGGCCAACCTGCTGATGATGTGAACCCTTGATGATATATGCTGCTTCATGTTTCTCTGTACATATGGGCAAGCCATTTCGCCCGCCAACATGCACCACTTGACCCTGATTTAAATATCCTGGGCTGACCATGCAACACATGCCCATTCATGCTTGCAGGTGATGGTCGGGTCGGCATGGGTGCTGAATCCCGGGGCTGTTTTGTGTCCACGCGGAGAATGTTGAATAACACCAGTTGGGATGAAAGGCTGGTTCCTATTGACCTAGAAACCACGATGGGGTCATTACTGAATTTCCTTGGGGAGCCGGTCACCGCATGGATGAATGCGCCACAGCATTTATTCCGGCGTCGTCAGACGACCTACATCAACGTCTGCAACGCTTTGGGGGCCCAGCCCCACCCTTCACTGTAAGTACACAGTTGGACAGTGTTACGAAGATTGTAAAGGATGCAAGGTTACATTCCGCTATTTCGCCATTCGAGTCATTGCAGCCAGACGGGAAGGCAGTATGGAACTTTGTTACTGGGGCCTGGGTCGGGGTAGTGTTTTCATGCGTGAACAATCAGCGGTGTTAAAGAGGTGGGTGCGTGGCATCAAAGGCCTCCTTGGGCATAACAACACACGCACGTTTGTATTTTTAGGCAATTTTACGACTGGCCAAGGCTTAAGTACTTCACGTATTCAGTTGTGCGTAGTTCCTAGTTTCTGAATGCGTTCGCCTGTAGCGATCCTGTTTGGGGTTCTTTGTTACCTGTGACCCACGGGTCAGATTGCCTGGAGTGACCCGAGTACGACCATATTTTCCACGTGATGTTATTTTTTACCGCGTACGTACCCTGTACGTCCATACATGCTTGGTCAGGAGGTCACAGTACAACAGTCTGCGGGAGCAAACGAAGAAGGTGGCTGACAGGTACCGTGGCGAGGCAGCTGCCTTCCGACAACAACACGAGGATATTATGAAGGTCCAGCAAAAGCTCCTATCTGCTGCCGAAGAGCTGCAGGGCGAAATGGACGCACTGTGGTCAGCTGCTGCCGTACGGGAGCAGTCAGCTGCGCAGTTAGAGCAGAAGGAAAAATTTGACGCGCACCAGCTATTCCGCCAGCAGTACGAGCTGGGCACCTCATTTACGTTAGAATCACGCGACGTTGAACCTTTCGCGCCGGCCTTCTTCACCACGGATGTGGTGAATGCAAGGACATTGCTGGAGCCAGCAGATCAGCCAGGCGCGGCCATCACAGTCGCGGATGCTCCAGACCTTGCCAAGGATAGGGTTGCATGCAGGTGTGCGCAAGTGATGGATGAACTTATCGGTGTAGCGAAGCCGATGGGGTTCATCGATCGGACACCTCCGCCCACCCCTAACCCCAGCAAGACACGTGGACTGGGCAACACGGTGGACGGCAGCAGTGCTGCAAAAGCCGCTGAGGCGCTGGATGCGGCTGTGGACTGCCATGGTGAGGACAACGGCATTGGACAAGTTGCAGCGCATGATGGCTGTGCAGCTGCTGTGCTCCTTGAAAGTGCCTCGCTGCCATGTGTGGGTCGCCCACCGGGATGTTTGTTCCGTCTAGGCAGTTGGGTGCTAGCGAGCTTCAGGATTAGCTGGTGGCATTTGGTTTCCGTTTTGAGTGGCATCCTAATCGTCAGCTGCTGTTTGCTTTCCCGCCCAGTAGTGTTACATACACGATGCCATGTGTTTTGGTGAGGTGACACGCCTCACAAGTGTGCCCACCGCCGCGGTCGTACTCATGTTGGCGCGGGATCGTCGAAGGAAGACGTGATTTGTAGCAAACAGGCATGCGTGGTATCTAGGCAAGTTTCGTTGTTCCCAGGGCTGAATTTGACATAACGTTTGGAGGGGCGTGCAGACGTGTACAGGGATTCGACCCATTTGCGCGCCATGGCTAGCCAGGTTCGCTGCTTTGAACGGAGTCGGCGAGGTTGCGCGATGTGCGAGGTGTGAGATTGCAAGCGCGAGTGCAGCAGTGGGTGTTGTATGCGGACGCTAAGTTTCCTCCAGCGGTGCAACGGACTTTGCCTAATTCGACGGTTACCTGTATTTTCCTACATGTAAGAGCTCGAATTCATGCTTCTATGTCATCTCTGTACTTTGTAGTCATGCATCACTATACGGCGGTGGTAAAACGTTGACGAACAGCAGCCGGTCATGGTGCAAATGACATCAATGAAATACGCGTATTAAAGACCTCAAATACATCTAGTTACTTTATCATGAAAGTGTTCCTCAAATAAATTTTAAGTGTCACTAGCCAACCAAAAATTGGGCCACTCATTCGTGACTGCATACAGTATGCGCACAAAGCACACACAAAGCATCCGAAGCAATTTTCCTAATGATAAATCGTTACGCAGCCTTCGCAAAAGGCGATGCGCATAACCAGGACCTCGTAAAGGTTTATGATTTGGACACAACCAACAGCCACAACATCCCTAACCGCTTCGCAACCACCACCATTTTCAATCCACGTCCCAAGCTCATTAGTCCCAACTCCCACACCAGACAGCACAAGAATTACATACCGATGCACCATCATGAAATGGACCTCTCTTATGGAATTTTAAGAACGTCAACTTCAGCCTCTCAACAAGTGCAAGCACGCGGGCTTTACTTGCGCCCTTTAAATCCCGCATTATTGCCAACAGTTCATGACCAATAAGCATCTTGCAACTGCCTGTATCTTCAAAAAGCTGTTGCGTGTGGGCACTCTGCCCCCCTTTGGCGCCTGGCCTGGGCCCGTTTGCCGTTGCCATGTAGGAAAACCAAACCTTGCAGTCAATGGTCTCACCCACATTCATATTCCATGCGCCCATATCTACTCCAGACGTGCGCCTGCCGACAGCATGGATGCCTCCTGTGCACCAAGCGGAGGCAGACATGCCGCCTCCGCCTCTGCCTTCGCCTCTGCCTCCTTGTTCTCCCGCTCCCGACCCCCCCCACCCAAGCCAGCCGAGATGCCTGCCGCCAGCGCCATTGGCGCCGCCACCATTGCACCCGCCGCCATCACCGGCGCCGCCGCCACCACGCCCGCTGCCATCATCGGCACCGCCACCGCTGCCGCCGCAACTGCCGGCACTGCCGCCGCCGCCACCTTACCCCCCAGCCGTACCGCCAGCTCCGCATTTACAGCTGGCCCCAGCTGACCCACCACCACCGCCGCCAGCCCCGGACCCATCTCCATCAGCAGCTGCGTAACATCTGAAGGACCTAGCGCCGCCACCAGATCGGCCAGAAATGCCGTACCCATCGCGTCTGCCACCTGCGCCGTCAGCTCCCCACCCATAAGCCTTACCAGTCCCCCGGCGCCCGCCATGCCAATGGCGATCAGCAACTCCGCCGTCTGGTCAACACCCATCGCGTTGACCAAATCTGCAGTACGCCTTGCACCCAGGTGCGCTACCACGCCCGCCGTTAAGGCGCCGCCGATGCGGCGGATCAGGTCAGCGGTTGCAGCGGAACCCATGGCCGCCACCAGCGCCGCCGTCGCGCCGGGGCCTAGCGCCGAAACCAGCTCCCCCACGGTTTCGGAGCTCATGGCCGCCACTAGGGCCGCCGTCAAAGTTGGTCCCATGGCAGCGACAACGCCGGCGGTGCCCTGGACCGTCATGGCCTTCGGGAAGGAGGGGAAAAGAGATCATATGCGAAAAAGTGGGGAGGGACGGAAAGAGGGAGGGAGGCAGGATGTGCCGGCGAATGCAATTATGGTCACAATCACGTCACCCGGCGCGACTTCACGCCATTCCAAAATCCCCTTCCCTTCCCCCTTCCCTGACCCGTGATACCAATCAATCTCACATCACACACACACACACACACACACAGCGAAGAACACGGATATCATTGCTGATGTGGTTTTCATGTGCCGGTTGCGGTGGCTACTCAAAAACGGCGCCCCCGCGGGGTGCTGCACACACCGCCACGAATGCCCCCCTGGCCCCCTCCACACGCACACATACCCACATACATGTTCGAAGCACTTTTGCGCTTCAAGACTCCCCCTTCTGCACCCTCCTGGACAGCCCTATGTATTCTTTTACAAAAACACCTCTATGGGGGAGAGACGGGCGGGAAGCGGGTGGGTGGGTGGGTAGACCCCAAACGGACCCGACCCAGGTGACCGCCGCCGCCGCAGAGGTTGGTAAGGAAACCACATCCTCAAACACTCTTTCACTCGTTTACCTGCACCAGCGCCGCCACGTTCTGGGGCCCTATGGCAGTGATGAGCAGGGCCGTCTGCTGGGCACCCAGCGCGGACACAAGGTCGGAGGTTCGAGCCGCACCCAGAGCGGCGACGAGCGACGCCTGAGGGCAGGAATTGAATAAATTGGAGGTGAGGCGACGAACGTGCTTTCGTGCTTTCATATGAGGAGCGTTGACGGGTTGGAGGGTGGGTGGGAAGAGGAGAATATGCGGAAGTTACCTCTTCTCAATCACCAATCGACCACCTTATATAGGGCGCCCGCGTGACCCTCTGAGTATACCTCTCCACCACCACCCCACCCCACCACACACACACACACACACGCACCGTCAGATGAGGTCCAAAAGCCCCCACAAGCTCAGCGGTCAGCTCGGGGCCCAGACCGCCACTGGCAGCCACCAGCAGGTGCGAGGTGCGCTCGGGCCCCAGGCGCGAGACGATGTCTGTTGAGGCGGCGGCGGAGGCCGTCCGGGAGTGCAGTGCGGATGAACGGAAAGTGTGGTGGTTGCACGTACGGGCATGTACGGACATATACGGGCACGAGGGAGATAATGGTCACTGGTGCGTCGTCACAACACATAACGATGTACGTGCATATGTACGTATGTTTATGTATGTCCATTTACGTGCATATGTACATACAGACGCCACGTCCTTCAATCGCCCCGGAGTCATGATCTCCCCCCCTTCCACGCCCCATGTACGTTCCCACGCCATAAGCTCGTAACCAACCAACCAACCAATCAACCCACCCGCCGTCAGTTCAGCTCCGAAACAAGCCACCAGATCCGCCACCAGTTGGGGCCCCAGACAGCGAACCAGCAAAGACGTCAGCTCCGGACCCATGGAGCCGACAAGCTCGCCCACCACATCGCCTCCCAGATCCGAAACCAGTACTGCAGTTTCTGCAGCAGTCAGCTCCGAAACCAAACCGCTCACAAGCTCCGGACCAATGTCACGTACGAGCGTTGCAGTAGCCTTGTGGCGCGAGATTTTGTGCACATAGTGTGGAAGATAGGATGGTGAAATTCGGGTGTGTGTGTACGTGTGTGTATGTACGTATGTGTATGTTGGGGGAGAGGGGGGCGTTTTGTCGTATCTTGAAAGCTGAGTCAGCTGGGCCAACAGGTGCCGACGTCAGCAAAGGTAGGGGTTGCCGCCGGTGGGTGCAATCGGAATTTGTGTGTGTCTGTGTCTGTCTGTCTGTCCTTGACGAAGCAAGAAGCGTGCGCGAGCTAAGAGGTAACCGAATTCCCCCAAATTGCGCCTGAGGGACCTTGAGGACATGCGTACGACAGGCGGGGAAAGGGGAATCGTATGCTGCAAGGAAACAACCAGAACCAGAAGATGAACTGCCGGCGTTCAAAAGTCCGAAATTGCTGGAGGGAGGGTGGGGGAAGATGAGTGAAGCTGATGCCAAGGAAAGACGGATACGCCAAGGATAGGAGGGAGCCTGGGCTGCAAGACGAATGGCTAGCTGGCAAATCCAAAGCCCAAAGAAGGCAGAACGCGAAAAACGCCGAAGAACTGCCTAGCCGCCTAGATGAAAGGAAAGTCTTTGTAAAAGCAGACGGAAGAGACAAACGGAAGCCGTGGAGGTGATGTGTAAAATTAAAGGCGGCAAAGAAGGAAGATTATTGATGGAAAGAGTGATATGATGGTAGTCGGACATTCTGCGCCGAGGAGAGGGAAGGCGGGGGCGTAGGGTACTCCCGGGTGTGGGACCCAGTCTGTGGGTGGAACCTCTCTCCCGGCTGCTTGCTCCCGGCTCCCCTCTACCCCCGACTGCCCTAACTCCCCCTAACTCAACGAGGGGTGACGGCCAAGAAAGCTGCCCCGCGCGGTACGGCAAACCCTCATCCTGCCGTACCTCTACCCCGGATATCTTACCTGGGGTCCCAACCCGCGCACAACATCTGCCGCCAGCTCCGGACCCATCCGCCGTACGAGCTCCGCCGTACCAACCGGCCCAAGTGCCGCTACCGCCGCAGCCGCCGGGCGGGAGGGCAGCAGCAGCAACTGCCGTACCAGGCTTGAGGTGAAGTCCGTTCCCAACGCCGAAACCAGCTCCGAAACCAGGGGCATACCCATGTGCTGTAGCAGCTCCCCCACCATGTCCGTACCTGTGAGGGTCGGGTGGTGGGGTGGGGTGTTTTGGTGTGTACGACACACAGTCTACGACAAAGCACGGCATACCGAGTGTGAGACCGGGGTTGGGCTGAGCGTGTGGGGGTTGGGACCCTCTCGCCAAGTCCTGTGCGGTCCCTAACCACTCTGCACCAACCGAACCACCACCCAACTACCAACAAACGACATAACTACTTGGGCACCTACCAAGTTCCTGCATGATGGACGCCGCCGCTTCAGGTCCGATCTCCACCACCATCTCAGCCGTGGTTTCGGAGCCCATAGCGCTCACCAGCTCCGAGGTGGCTTCGGAGCCCAGCCTTGATGCTGTATCTGCGGCTGCTTCAGGGCCCATAAGGCCCACAATTGCCGCCGTGCGCTGGGCCCCCAGGAGCCCTACCGTCTGTCAAGGCGTCCGTGACCCCAGGAGGGGGGTGAAGATGCACCCGGGGGTAATCCCGGTAGGAGGTGGTTAAGAGACCAACGGTATAGCATGTGTATTTGTGTGTACGTGTTGCTAGTTGTTGTTGTTGTTGGGGTGGGTTTGTGGGTGATGGTGGTAGGTGTGGTGTTGGTGTTGGTGTTGGTGTTGGTGTTGGTGTTGGTGTTGGTGTTGGTGTTGGTGTTGGTGTTGGTGTTGGTGTTGGTGTTGGTGTTGGTGTTGGTGTTGGTGTTGGTGTTGGTGTTGGTGTTGGTGTTGGTGTTGGTGTTGGTGTTGGTGTTGGTGTTGGTGTTGGTGTTGGTGTTGGTGTTGGTGTTGGTGTTGGTGTTGGTGTTGGTGTTGGTGTTGGTGTTGGTGTTGGTGTTGGTGTTGGTGTTGGTGTTGGTGTTGGTGTTGGTGTTGGTGTTGGTGTTGGTGGTGTTGGTGTTGGTGTTGGTGTTGGTGTTGGTGTTGGTGTTGGTGTTGGTGTTGGTGGTGTTGGTGTTGGTGTTGGTGTTGTTGGTGTTGGTGTTGGTGTTGGTGTTGGTGTTGGTGTTGGTGTTGGTGTTGGTGTTGGTGTTGGTGTTGGTGTTGGTGTTGGTGTTGGTGTTGGTGTTGGTGTTGGTGTTGGTGTTGGTGTTGGTGTTGGTAGGAAACCGGGCGTTCAGGAGGCGACGACAGTTCCAGGCGGGGGATGGTGGATCCGGGGTCCCCGTGGGGAGCGGCTCGAGGGGGAGGAGGACAGCCTGTCCTGCTCCCGTGGGGAGGGGGGGAAGATGTGGATGCGGATGTGGATACGGACCGTCCTTTCGGATGGGAAGAGCCCCCGGGAACCCTACTTCTCCGATAAAATTGCCTTCCAAAGCGGTCGTACGTCCCATGCGGCGCACCTGCGCTGTAGCTTCCGGTCCGACGATCTGGTCAACTACTGCCGCCAGTCTCTCGGGGCCCAGTGCTGTAGCCGTACGGGCCGCTAGCACCGGTCCAACCATGCGCGCTGCAGCAGCTGCAAGGCAGGCCCTCTTATGGAGACGTGATGGCGCCGCCGCCGCCGCCGCCGCGGCGTCACAGCTGGCATTACTGCTCGCGCCGCCGGCTGATGCTCCCACAGCGCCGCCGTCGTCGGATGGCTGAACGGCACCATCAGCCGTGTGAGCCGCGTGGATGGCGGCGGCGGCGGCGCCGTCACTGGCATCCCTGTCGCCAACCGTACTGCCGCCGCCGACGAAGGTACTGCCGTCGCCGGTCACGGAAGCTCCTGCACGGCCGCGGCCGCCACCGCCGCCACCGCCGCCACCGCCGCCACCGCCGCCGCCGTCCGCAATCATGGGCTCAAAGCCGCTGCTCCCTCCGCCGCCGCCGCCGCCGTCAACGCTGTCCTCCGGCAGCGGCTGCTCCATACTATCCCTCCGCGGCCGCCGCCAGGCCTGACGCCGCAGCCGCCACAGCCCCGGCCGCAACCCCAGCAGCGCCGCATTCCCGCCATTCATGCTGCCACTGCCCTTCTCCATGCCGGCGGCCGCTGCGCCGCCACCGTACGGGAACCCAGGCACGCACGAGTACGACATGGGGTTAGGACTGGATCCAGAGTAATCCATGTCCGAGTCTCTGGGTCCCCCGGAGAAGTCGGACAGGGACAGATGGCTCGGGTTGTGGGTTATGGTTTCGGGGGTGAAGAGCGCACGTTGTACGGTCAGCTGGGCCTGAGCACGTGATGGCGGCGCCGCCGGCACGTCAGGCCGTAGCAAGTCGGGTTTACCAGAGCCGCCTGTAGGTATCCAGCTGGCGAGGCTGCCGACATCGCTGCGGGAGCGTGGTGGCAGTTGCTGCTGCTGCGGCGGCAGCGGCTGCAGAAGCAGCGGGGGCAGTGGCGGCAGTAGGGATGGCCTGGGGAGCGGATGTGCTGCTTCCAGTTGCGACGGTTGAGGTGGCGGAAGAAGGGAAGACGGCTGCTGCTGAGGATGATGTTGTTGTTGTTGTTGTTGCTTTTCCTGGTGCTGCTGTACGGAGGGTGTCGTTTCCATAAGGCTACTCGGCGCAGCGCCGCCGCCGCCGCCGGCGCCGTTGGCGCCGCCGATGCGGTGGCCATTTTCGCCACTGGTGGGTGACATGGTTCCGTTGTCGCCACCGCTGTGGCTGCCCCTGTGACTGCCATTATCGCCCTTTCGGTCGCTCTCAGTGATTCTGCCTGTGCTTGTGCTGCTGCTACTGCCGCTGCTACGTCCATTGCTATCGCCCTCGGGTACGGCATCTTCTCGAGCCAGGGAGGGCCCGACCCGCATTCCAGTAACGCTCACTCGCCCGGAACTTCCCGCCGTCCTCAGCGGCACATATGCCACCCCATCGCCACCAGCGATGCCGTCGCCACTGCCGCCGCTCGGCGGTAGCAGCCACGTGTCGTCATGGGGAATAGGCGTCAGCGCCCGCCGCGGCGCCGCTGTCGCTCCGCCGCGGCGCTGCCGTACAGACCTTAATGGCTCGTCTTCCCCGTGGGCAGGACCGCTGCCGCTGCCGCCACCGCCGCCGCCGCCGTTGCCCGGCCTGGCGCCAGTGCTTTCTTCTAATACCGCTTGCTGGTCCGCCGCCGTCACCGCCTCGGCTGTTTCCGTTGGAGCCTTTCCGGATTGATTTATCAGCGGCGGCTGAAGTTGCTTCGTGGCCGCTTCATCAGCGCCCGCGGGTGCCGGCGTTGGCCCCTCTTCGGCGCTGGCAGGCTGTGCGAGGGATCGTAAGGGCGCGACAGGCGGCGGAGCGCGGCTGACTTTCAAAGGACTGTCTTTACATATTACAGGATGCAAAATTTATTTGAAACAAGAATATATCTCAATTATACAATAGATGACAGTCGTGAACTGCTGCGTAATGGGACTCCGGACAGCGACACTTGTATCGGTGCGAGCGACTCCGAAGAGGGTCGCGCGACGCGCGTTGGGCTCATAACTTTCGTACTTACATGTGTGCGATAAATAAATACACATTCTGTACTTTCTGAGCACTAATTCTGAGGGCAGCGCTGCGAAGGTCGACAGGTGGGCAAACTTCGGCGGCTCGCAAACAAAAACGAGCGCCACCACAGTTGGCTCACGGTTAGCGCGCGCCTCACGGTAAAGCTGGACGATTATACAAAGAACTATTATTCTGTCGACAAGCTTATATCTAGCGACTTATGATCCCGGCGGGTGGCGGTGCGTCACAGCCAAAGGAGCCGTCTCACCTTTTCCCCCTCGACTTGCCGCTTATGCCGCCCAAGCGGCCGGGACCTGGGCCAGCAAGCTGTAAAGAGTCCCGATAGCCCACCAACACACGAGCGGCTGTCGGCGCCGTTCCGGGAAGCGCCTCCGTTCTCTGCGGCCTCCGCCTTCGGCATGACTGTGTTCTAAAGAATTTTTTCGGCTGGCTATTTTGTGGTGTAAGGCGCGTCTGTTATTCGCAAAGACGCAATTTAAGGTCTAGTTCCGCTTTGTAAGAGAGTAGGTGCCGAACGTCGCAAAATGAAAACCTTGCGTGTTGAACCGCTGACTCAAAATAAACAGTAATTTCCCGAAATCGCTATAAAAGTTAGTAATTTCGTCCAAGGTTGCGTTATCCTCATGACCCTCTAGCCATGGCCTTATTACCGCCATTACTGTGTCCAACACTGAGTAACTTGCTATCTCTCTTTGATGTTAAGGTAATGTCATAAGCAGCAACAAACAAACGATATAGAATGTTGTATCTTAGCGCAGCCGCCTAGTCAAAGCCCAGACAATTAAGGAACAACAGGAGCCATGCCACTTGAGGAAATCAGCCAAGCGGCGTGGTCTCTGGACGCCGCTACCTATGCACCCACAATCGCCGTGCTCACAGTCGTGTTGGGACTCATAGTCCTATTGTCCTTGGCGTTCCCGCGAGCGGGCCCCAAGTGCAGCAACGAAGCTTTGGAATCCGCGCCCATAGACGTTGCGTCATCAAGTGACCCACGGGTCGTAACTGAGCTGCTGAGCGGCGCGGCCGAACCATCTTCGGACGCAGCCGCGACTCAGGAAGGGCTCCTAGCATTACTCGCTCATCAGGAGCAATTCAGCAGCCGAGGACCTTCTTCTCACGCACTATCGTTGCGCGAAGACGAAGAGGAGCAAGAGCAAGATGATGAGTTTCATCACGACAGCACGGCGTTCCCGCGCCGTGGTGATGTCGTGGACGATGACAGCGGCGGCTCAGCGGCACGCGGCGACGATATTACGTCACCTTTCGACTCCGCCGCTGCCACGGCCACTTCACCGCCCGCGGGGGACGAGGTTAGCAACTGCGATAACAGTAACTCGGACAACAACGTAAGTGGCGACGGCGGCGGCGCACTCGAAGGCCTTGAGAGGGTAATCCCGCGGCTCCGGCCGCGTCCACCCTCCGCGACCTCGGCGGCGGCGGCGGCGGCGGCGTTCACGGATCCGAGCGTAAGCCCCAGCTCCTCCGCGGCCTCGTCTGAGATCTGGCATCAGGCCTATCAAGCCCGTCCTGGATCTCAAGGTACGGCGCTATCGCAGAGAGATCTGGACAGCGCAATGCACGCCCCGGCGACCTTTGACGGCGGCGGACGTAGCGGCGACGGCGGCGACGGCGGCGGCGGCGGCAGCAGCGCAACCGCCACGCCATGGCCTGTGGAGCTGGCGACAAGTCCTAGTGCCACCACCAGCGTCGCCTGGGGCGGCGGCTATGCGCTGCCGCAGGGCTGGAGCAGCGCCTCCCGTGGCGGCGTCGGTGAAGCGCCCTTCGCCAGCTGCGGCGACGGCGGCTTGAGCAGCTACCTGGTCCAGTCCTTTCCAACCGACGAGTGCCCCCTGTCGCCTGCATCAGTGGCCGACGCAGCAGCCGCCGCCGTCGCCGCCGCTAGCCACGGCGGCCGGATGATCCGCATTGGCAGAGGCGGCTTCGGCGGCGGCGCGACCGCCGCTTTTGCGCACCGGACATCGGCGGAGCCCTCGCCGCCGCCGCCGACTCCTGGCGAGGGCAGCGGTGGGGGCAGTGAAGCTTCGGGACGCTGGAAACCGCCAGGGCTGTCGTACGTCCCGGCAGTGGTGGCGGAAGGTTCAGCGCTGCCGTTGCCACTGCCGCCGTTCTTCTCCCGCTCGGGCGCGAGTTGTTGGGCCGCCGAAGGCGCAGCCGCTGGCGGCGGTCGTGGCGCCAACACGACCGCTGATGACGTGGCGGCGGGTGCTGAAGCCGGCTCATCAGGCATGGAGGCAGTAGCCGCAGAAGAGCAGTCGAGGGCCCTATGTTCCTTGCGTCACGGGGGCAATCTTCCGCAGCCGCTAGATACGCCTTTGCAATGGTACCGGCGCCGCGGCGTCAGCGGCGGCGGTAACGGCGAGAAGGAGTGTACGGACACTGCAGCCGCTCGCGGCGGCGTTCAGATGCTATCAGCAGAGCTCACCGGGGTGGTGCCGCCGCCTGAGCCGCACGTGACGGCAGCGCAGCAGCCCGTGCAGGTGCTGCTGGCGGCGACGGACGACGACCGATTACGGGGGTGTTTACCGGCGCCACGACCAACCCAGGAATCCGTACTGCTGCCCAATGCGCCGCTGATGCCACCGGCACTTCCGCCTCCGCCTCCGCCTCCGCCGTCGCCGCCGCGGGCATCACCGCCGTCCGCCGCCTCCATGCCGTACCAGCACTCCACCTTCCTGTCACATTACTCTCAGCTTGGCGTGTCAGGCGGCGGCGGGTCGATCATATCAAGCCCTGATGATGTACAACCCATGCAATCCGTACCGAACACCGCGGCTGTCGGATCTGCACCGGCACAGGCGCCGCCGCCGCTTAACGTGGCCGCTCGCACTTCCCGAACGGGCGCCGAGTCCGTTGGCGGCAGCGGCGCCGCCACGATCCCAAGCTTGATCCCAAGCGGCGCTATGACTCTGACGCCTTTTATGGGGCCTCCCGAGACGATGTCTGATCCGGTATGCGGTCACGGCGGCGGCGGCGGCGGCATTACCGCCGGCGTGTTTGTTAGCAGTGCCCCGTCGGAGGTGTCGGTGCACGTGACGGGAACCAGCCTTCCGCTGAGTGACGGCTCCAGGGCGGATGCCCTATCGCACGCCATCTTCACATCCCGCAGCGAAGCACGCAGCAGTCTCACTGGCGGCGGCGCCGCCGCCGCCGCTTGCGGGACATCAAGCACGCGCAGCAGTATGAGCGGCGGAGGCGGAGGCGGAGGCGGCACGTCAAGCGCGCGCAGCAGCGTGAGTGGCGGCGGCAGCGGCGGTGGCGGCGGCGCGGTAAACCCTCGCAGCAGTGCCGTTTACAGCGTCGTCGGGTTCCATGAGCCGCGGCTAAGCGGCGGCGCCATGGGCGCCGTACACCCTGTGGTGGAGGAGCAGGAGATGGAGGGCGCCGCGGAGGCGAGCGGCAGCACCGTCAGCCTTGCGGGTCAATGCCTGGAATTCAGTTCAACCAGTACGACAGGTGGTGATGGCGGCAGCGGTGCAATTGTGCTGCAACTTCGTGCGTCGCCGCCGGATGCTGACGCGGCGTTGGCAACGGCGGTGACGCCGTCGCCGTTCGCCACGCGGTCTGCGGCGCAGCGGAGCTTCGACGCGCCGCCGCAACCTGCCGTACATCCTTCCCCCCAAGTGCCCCTGCCCCCGCCAGCGGCGGCCGCTAGCGCAGCGCGCCGCCCGCAGCTGTGCATCAACCTTGGCGAGCTGCTTCACCCTCCGCAACGGCCGAGAGATCCCGCGTCAATGCCAGCAAGCACGGTGCCGTATGCGGCCGGCCCTGGGACATGCGCCGCCGCACCGCCGGCGGGACCGCACGCTGGCGGCGCCGGGGCTCGCGGCACCGCGTCCGTGCTGTACACTTCCCGTTGTAGCAGCCAGCTGTTATCGATCAAGGTGAGGGTGACGATGGTGAGGTGGGTGTGAGGGAGGGGGAGGGGGAGTTGGGGGGGGTGTAAGGGGTTCAGTGAAAGCGCTGCGCCCCGCCTCCGCATCACGTCGTTCCCTGGTGCTTGCTGGCCGCGCGCGTCCTGTTCCCATCGCTGTAGCTTGAGGGGGCCGCCGCCGCGGCCGCCGCGCCGGGTTCACAGCCAGCGGCCGCCGCCGCAGCCGGCGCGATCAGCCGACACGTGGCGTCTACGCTGATGCGGCACATTCCGCCAGGACGACTGGTCCGCGTCAGCGCGCTTGCCGTACGGGGATGCATCCAGTTACTCATTCGAGTGCAGTTGGGACCACCCCTGCAGCCGGCGGCGGCGGCGGTAGCGGCGCCTTCAGCAGCAAACATGGCTGCCCAAGGCGCCGATCTAGCCGCTGCACTGATGCCGG